AAAACATTCTCATTAGAGCTGCAGCACATAGCTTATATACCAAACAGCAGTCTTTACCACTGTGTCTCCATGTAGGTGAGCACCACTTCAGAGAGAATTAGGGTGGGGGCAGCCCAGTCCAGCCCAGCTGCACCCAGAGCCTCCTCCACCTGGGACTCCTCTCTAACATCCACCCCGAGCAGACGGTACTGACCACTGGACACAAATACAGGTCCTGAACACACACAGGTTTATGCTCATGAATACAACATTATGATATATGACAAAGAACATCTCTTTGAATCTCAGTGAAGTTTGTGACGGAATGACAAACCTGTCAGAGAAGGTAGATGGGGGTCTAACATCTCCCTCAGTGTATTATTAGAGTTGATAAGAGCAGCCTTGCGCCGACTGACATCAGGAAAATCCACCTCAAAAACAACAGCCCTGTCGAGTGCTTCAGCTGCGTGCAGGCGGAAATACACAGAGTCGAATCCTGCGCCCAAAGACAAAATCTAACAAGAGGGGAAAGATAATGTCAGAGAGAGACAATGATGGTAAATAAATAATGCCACCCTTCATAATGCAAACCTTCTATATAAAACAGTGTTGGACATGATGCTGTAACTTGCCTGTCTTTTGGGGCAGTTTTCAGTGATGTGTAGGAACCTCCTCACACAGTGGTCCACAGCTCGCCAGCGCACGTAGTAGCCCCTGAAATGTGCAGATACACCAAAGACTTTAATTTGACAACACATTATTGTTGTTGTTATTATCATACACTGTGGTCTGTTTACAACTGTATACAATATGTGGACATAATATTGAGTTCTAAGAAAAACTGGTTAATTTCCACAACTTTCTAATGTTTTATAACCAAGAAAAAATACTTTAGATCAATCCAGAGTAAAAATAAGTGGTACTGTAGTTACAGTCCTAATCCCAGGCCTTCTGATTTGTCATTCATTTTTTTGATGTCACTCTGTCATTATTAATACTTAACAATTTTTTATCACCTTGCAGTACATATAAGTCTTTTGAAACCTTAGTGGGTATTTATGTAAAGCAGGTAACATCAGACCTGCTTTATACATCATCCCACGGTACACAGTGTGATGTGATGATATGTGATCTGTGCTTGTTGTACCGTTATTCCACCTGCACTTTTCCGTTGCACATAAGATTAATTTCATCCTACCCCAAGTGTGAGGCGGTTCTTTGTCAGTGCATGTTCATAAATCACACCGCCATTTTCAACCAAGGCCAACTCCTGCAAAGGTACATTGTGTGTTTAATAAAGTGACTGTGACCTCGATCACTGAGTCCCATGCACCGCTGACCTGTTGATGAGCGGGGCCCTCCTGGCCACTTTACACACAAAGTGTTGGAGGAAGACATCCTGGAAGTAGCCCTGCGCTGCAGCAGACACCTTGCTCACCACACTGCTGTCATTGGTCCCCTGTACCTGGGTCCAGCCACACAAAAAAAAACCAAACAACTCAACAGAGCCTTTATACTGCAGATGCCTCAGCCTGTAACCAGTTTGAGTCAGGCTACTTTCTGCCAGTAGTACATCTAATCTGCATTTTATCCATATCTATACATTTACATTCAGGCTCTTACTGTGTATGTGCACCCAAGTCTACATGTTAATCACAAGGAGTTAGTACATAAGAATAGAAAGCAATGACTGTCCCTGCTTACTCAGTGTAGATGTCCATGGAGCGGGCTGAGAGTCAAACAAGGCATCCAAGGCACTCTGATTATGGTTAAAAATTCTTTATTCATACAGTACAGGCCAAAAGTTTGGACACACCTTCTCATTCAATGCGTTTTCTTTATTTTCATGACTATTTACATTGTAGATTCTCACTGAAGGCATCAAAACTATGAATGAACACATGTGGAGTTATGTACTTAACAAAAAAAGGTGAAATAACTGAAAACATGTTTTATATTCTAGTTTCTTCAAAATAGCCACCCTTTGCTCTGATTACTGCTTTGCACACTCTTGGCATTCTCTCCATGAGCTTCAAGAGGTAGTCACCTGAAATGGTTTCCACTTCACAGGTGTGCCTTATCAGGGTTAATTAGTGGAATTTCTTGCTTTATCAATGGGGTTGGGACCATCAGTTGTGTTGTGCAGAAGTCAGGTTAATACACAGCCGACAGCCCTATTGTACAACTGTTAAAATTCATATTATGGCAAGAACCAATCAGCTAACTAAAGAAAAACGAGTGGCCATCATTACTTTAAGAAATGAAGGTCAGTCAGTCCGGAAAATTGCAAAAACTTTATATGTGTCCCCAAGTGGAGTCGCAAAAACCATCAAGCGCTACAACGAAACTGGCACACATGAGGACCGACCCAGGAAAGGAAGACCAAGAGTCACCTCTGCTTCTGAGGATAAGTTCATCCGAGTCACCAGCCTCAGAAATGGCAAGTTAACAGCAGCTCAGATCAGAGACCAGATGAATGCCACACAGAGTTCTAGCAGCAGACCCATCTCTAGAACAACTGTTAAGAGGAGACTGCGCCAATCAGGCCTTCATGGTCAAATAGCTGCTAGGAAACCACTGCTAAGGAGAGGCAACAAGCAGAAGAGATTTGTTTGGGCCAAGAAACACAAGGAATGGACATTAGACCAGTGGAAATCTGTGCTTTGGTCTGATGAGTCCAAATTTGAGATCTTTGGTTCCAACCGCCGTGTCTTTGTGAGACGCAGAAAAGGTGAACGGATGGATTCCACATGCCTGGTTCCCACTGTGAAGCATGGAGGAGGAGGTGTGATGGTGTGGGGGTGTTTTGCTGGTGACACTGTTGGGGATTTATTCAAAATTGAAGGCACACTGAACCAGCATGGCTACCACAGCATCCTGCAGCGACATGCCATCCCATCCGGTTTGCGTTTAGTTGGACCATCATTTATTTTTCAACAGGACAATGACCCCAAACACACCTCCAGGCTGTGTAAGGGCTATTTGACCAAGAAGGAGAGTGATGGAGTGCTGCGGCAGATGACCTGGCCTCCACAGTCACCGGACCTGAACCCAATCCAGATGGTTTGGGGTGAGCTGGACCGCAGAGTGAAGGCAAAGGGGCCAACAAGTGCTAAACACCTCTGGGAACTCCTTCAAGACTGTTGGAAAACCATTTCAGGTGACTACCTCTTGAAGCTCATGGAGAGAATGCCAAGAGTGTGCAAAGCAGTAATCAGAGCAAAGGGTGGCTATTTTGAAGAAACTAGAATATAAAACATGTTTTCAGTTATTTCACCTTTTTTTGTTAAGTACATAACTCCACATGTGTTCATTCATAGTTTTGATGCCTTCAGTGAGAATCTACAATGTAAATAGTCATGAAAATAAAGAAAACGCATTGAATGAGAAGGTGTGTCCAAACTTTTGGCCTGTACTGTACATGTGAATAAAAGATTATCCCAGCTCATACCATGGACAGGCATTGCTTTTAATTCTCACATGACTATTAGTCCTTGAAGAGCATCTGATATGTTACAGTCACTTAAATTTCAATTCAATAAGCTTTAGTGGCATGACATTTCATATGTGTTGCCAAAGCACAATTACAATTTTTTTAGGGCATTTTTTGCCTTTAATTGACAGGACAGTGAAGTGTGAAGGGGGAGGGAGAGAGAGGGAAAGACATGCAGCAAAGGGCCACAGGCTGGACTCGAACCCGGGCCGCTGCGGCAACAGCCTTGTACATGGGGCGCCTGCTCTACCACTAAGCCACCGACACCCCCACAATTACAATTTAAGAAAGTGAATTCAATTAACTGCAATGGGATATAATAGGTAATTAACTTATTTAAGGAACAATTAATAGTAAAGTATTAATACAAAATTAAAGAAAAAAACATTAAGTGAAGGAGTAAATAAAAAGGCAGAGTGTGATCTGTGATGAGATGATCTATAGGTTGTGTTGGTTGTCTTTCAGGCTGTGACATGCACTGACATATTTTGCTGCATCTATGGAACTGACACTATTTCTCCAAGTAGATGTTGCACTTCAATCTGGCCAGAGAGTGAATCAAAATCTTAGTTTACATTTAATTTTTGTTATGAAGTTTGTTCTCATGTTGCTCTGCCTCCTGTCTCTGTGGACAGAGCTGAACCAGCCTGTCTTCTAGAGGCAGCTACACTAATTATTTTCTTCATTATTACTAATTTTTAAGGTGTTTTAAACATTGTTTGGGGTAGTTTAATCTATATCAAAGCTTCATATCCTATAAGAGCATCAAGTTTTCATGTGAAATCTTTATTTGTGAAGTAATTGAAGCTGTTAATTAAAATGAAAAGCACAATATTACCTTTCTGAGCTGCAGTAGTGTTGAACTATATGGTGCCATGCAACAGAAATAAGTTACCCAAATAAAGTACAGGTACCACAAATTTTACATACGTTTGATATCAGGTTTGCTAGCTCTAACATTAACAGTAAATAAGCAGCAAGTAGAGGAAAGTAAAGTCAGATTTACCGCGGTGTCTCTCCCCTTCTTCTGCTTCTTTTTGTTTGTAGTTGGCATTACGTCAGCAAACTATCACATCACCTCGCGGGTAAACTCTAACACACATTATAAAGTGTATTTAATAAATGTTATAGTTAGTTAATAGTTTTCAGTGCTGAGTGGAGTCTGCACATCAAAATAATTCAAACATCCTTCACGTGGTAAAGACTTCCGGGTGTTTTCCTGTCTGCGCTCTGGCGCCCCCTGCAGCCTGGAGGCCACACTCTCGGTCAGGGAATCCCGTTCAGAAGCCCATTCAGATTATTTACAATTTAAGGGGAATATTTGTTATTGCGGCGGCAGTCATGTGATTGTCTGGACTTTGAGTATACGTGCTGTTGTAAATGGAAATGATTTTGCATTCGGCTGTAAAAAATAACAATAAATGTTTGTCTAAATCAGTAAATTTAATCAAACTGAAGACTGTAAAAGTGTGATGTCACTGAAGGGACCGTTGGGGAATGCGGTCCTTCTTTCACAGGTTTGACAATGCGGCACTCAGTGCGCATGCGCCGGCTGAACAGGAAGCGTTAACATTTTCTTTTACCAGCTGATATAGCCAAACTGTCAACAGTCAAACCTGCGATACCTGCGCCGCTGAAACGACACTATACAAGGTAAATATTTTTATATTTTCCTCTCCGTGGAAACACGTTATTCAGATGTACAGGTTGTGTTTGTGTGTTTAATCGGGCGTCGAAATATAAATTCAGTTTTGTCTCGTCTGACCCGAGTGATCGGAGCGGTGTCCCGTTAGCACATAACGCCAGATAAGCAGGGCTGGTGATCTGATAACATTTACTGAGGGACTAACCTTAATGTTAACAGTGACACAGAGCAGGGACGTCACACACAGTGAGAGACGCTGAGGTCGCAGTAATGTCTCAAATGACTAATGTGCTGCAGTGATGGATGATCAGCACTGAGGTCTGTGAGGTGGGAGACGGCAGTTTGAGGCGCAGCATCCCTGTTAAAGCTCGAGTTTCACTGCATGATAATGGGACACAGCGAGCATCGGGTCATATTTTCAATCATGGGTCTGAATCTGTGAACACACAACAGACATGCAGGGCTGCTAAGTGTTAAGCAATGCAGCTGCAATGCAAACTTGTCTGTTGGTGTTCCTGCAAAGGAAATCTCCACCCTCCTCTGACTTCATGGAGGCGTTTGTTGAGAAATACAAGTATTTGAGAAGCAAGGTAACAACACACACTCAGGGCTGATGAATGTAAAGCAGTGCAGCTGCAATGCAAACGTGTCTTTCTTTTCCCACAATTCATGTCAGTTCTGCACCCCTTCTTTAAAACCATAATCTTTAGACTTTATGGATGCACCTGAAGATGTGTGTGTTCCTTTGAGAAAGAAATATAAGTGTATATAAGGTGAAGCATGATGTAATCTTGCACCACAACAAAACCTTTCAGGTAAAACAAGGAGCGAAGAGAGGTCAAGACACCATCAGCGAGGCTCGACTTCACTCTGGAACGGAAGTGTAAGTGACTGACATCCCAGAAGCACCCGTCTCCAGCCCAGGGAGGAGGCCCAGCCCACCTGCCGTCTCCTACGAGGGCCGGTATGAGCTCCAGAGGGAGTGGAGGCCGCTCCAACGGCACACTACCGCAGACCAAGATCTGCCAGTTCAAGCTGGTGCTGCTGGGCGACATGGCTGTGGGCAAGTCCAGCCTGGTGCTGCGATTCGTCAAGGGACAGTTCGATGAGTTCCAGGAGACGACCATAGGAGGTGAGTGAGGAGGGCGAGAAGGTTGTATGTTGGGTTTAAATGATACTCAGGTGATTTTAAGGAGGTAACCTGTCATTTCTCTCCCTTCACATCCAGCTGCGTTCCTGGCTCAGTCGGTGTGTCTAGACGACACCACAGTGAAGTTTGAGATCTGGGACACTGCAGGACAGGAGCGATACCACAGCCTGGCTCCGATGTACTACCGTGGTGCTCAGGCAGCCATTGTTGTCTTTGACATCACCAAGCCGGTACAGTATAAACAGCTTCAATATTATTCTGGGTAACACCCTTTGCCTCTTGCCGAATTGTTCGTGAGGCATTCATGGTTTATGTTACACAACTAAAACAAATGCATGAAGAAATCCTACATCAGAATATCAGAGCAGTTCGTCCCCTAACTTATATGACTGAATAAGTTCCCTGATTTGTTATTAAGGCTCAGCTTCCCCGACCTCTGTCGTCTCTCCCTTGTGTTTACATGTGTGTTGGCGGTGTATCTGACCTTGATCTTGTGTTTATGCAGGAGACCTTTGAGAGAGCCAAGGCCTGGGTGAAGGAGCTGCAAAGGCAGGCCAGTCCCAACATTGTTATTGCCCTGGCCGGGAACAAGGCTGACCTGGCAGAGAGGAGACTAGTAGAGTACGAGGTGAGACACTTGTTTTCGTTGAGATTGCAGTGGAGCAGGTGGAGGTGTTTACATGTAAACAGTCGATCAAGACTACTGTAGGAGTGGAAATCAGGCTCAGGCGTGTGGCGGGAGAACAGGGCACAAGGATCTGTGCATTAAATTGTTGTGAAATGCATTTTAACCATACCTATTCAGCTGCATTGCACTGGTGAAGTCCCTCTGAGTCAGCGGCTACCTGACGATACGAAACATAAACCTTATTTGTTGCAGAGGCTGCACGTCACAGCTCAGAGATTTGTGTCGTGCTCTCCTGAGTGCCTGCTGTTTGTAGATAAGAGACATTCTAGTTCTTTTCCGCTTGAGGCTTTTTTAAGTGTTAGTTAAACTACTGCTGATGTTATGTTTGCCTGTGTGTGTTGTGTGGAAAAGGAGGCCCAGACGTATGCTGAAGACACTGGCCTGCTTTTTATGGAGACCTCTGCTAAGACAGCTATGAACGTCAATGAGCTCTTCCTGGCCATTGGTGAGTGTCGTTTCATTTAAGCAAATGATTAGACTTTTATTTCAGAAGAGAATGAGACTAAAACTGTGGGAGTCATCAGGTATTCTGTGCAGGAACTGTTTGTGAACAGCATCACAAGCAAAAGTGAAAGCCAACCTCAGATTCACTTTACTTTTGGAACGAGCTTCGTCCATTTGGCACTTCATCCATCCATCCATCCATCCATTTTCAACTGCTTATCTGAAGCCGGGCTGCAGGGGCAGCAGGCTGAGCAAAGTACTCCAGATGTCCCTCTCCCCAGCAATGCTTTCCAGCTCCTCCTGGAGGATCCCGAGGTGTTCCCAGGCCAGATGAGATATATAATCCCTCCAGTGTGTTCTGGGTCTGCCCTGGGGCTTCCTACCAGGTGGATGTGCCCAGAACACCTTTACCAGGAGGCACCCAGGAGGATCCTGATCAGATTCCCAATCCACCTAAACTGACCCCTTTCGGCGCAAAGGCTCTTCTCAGAGCTCCCTCTGGATGTCCGAGCTCCTCCCCCTATCTCTAAGGCTGAGTCCAGTCACCCTATGAAGGAAACTCATTTCAGCTTCTTGTATCCACGATCTCATTCTTCCACTACCCAGAGCTCGTGACCATAGGTGAGGTTTGGGACGTAGATGGACCAGTTAATCGAAAGCTTCGCCTTCTTGCTCAGTTCTCTCTTCACTTAGACAGTCCGGCACTTCACCCACATCACTGCAGACGCCACGCCAAACCACTAGTGTTTCGCCTTGCTATATTTACAATTTTTGTAGCTTCCTCTCAGATCTGTGCTGCTTATGATCTAGCACCAGGGGCCATACATATAAACGATGCATACGCAGAGAAACCACATGTACGCCGTTTTCCACACATTAACTGGTATTTATACAGGACGAATGTGCAGCAAATATGTGCAGACCTCATGCAGACTTCAAACCAGGTGTACACACTGAGATGTGTTTTAGCTGAGATGACTGCAGGTAATATGAAGGTCAACATGAAATATAAGGCGAGAGATGTAACCTTATAATAGCACATTGTTTTCAGGTTGTTGGTCAGTTTCACTTATCGTATTACTATTTTTGCAGGCTGCACAGCGTTCTGTAAATTAACAATTAATACATAACATAACAATAAACTTCATTTTGAAATATTTAGGGCTTATCGATCTTTTTATATATGTTTGAGCCCTAATCTCCCTGTTAACTACTGTTGAATTTGATGCTGGATTGTGAAGCACTTTGCAAAGTCAGTTTCAACATGAGTGCTATGAATGAATCACTGATCATCCTTCTGACGTTTAACAACAGTAATAATGGAGATTTTAACATTACAATGGACTGCAGAAATGTAATGAATTATTGGTACAAATGCTACAAATATCCACAGCCATGTGTAACATCAGCTGCTCCAACACCGCTTGAAAACCTCTCCAGTCAAATTGCACTTTCTTTGCTGTTGTTTTCATTCACAGGTATAATCAGTGGTACAGCAGGAACAAGTATCAATATGCAAACGGGTATTTAAGGGCGTTTCCCATCAATTTCCGGTGATCTGTGGGGGTGGAAATGAGGCACATGCACGGCTGCAGTGATTGAGATTCAGAAAATAGAATCAGGCATACATGTTGCTTATAAATCTGATAAAAGAATGGGTATGCACATTTCTGTCTTTGAACGATGTACGCAAAGTTTTAGTCGTGTATCTACAAAGAGTTTTATGCATCTGGCTCCTGGTCGCAACCTTTTCATTAAGTCTCAATCTCACCTCCACACTGTGCCCCAGGAACATCCTGAACACAGCAGAATAAGAAAACCACCACACACTTCTCATGGTCTTTAGTTTTTTTTTTGTTTTGTTTTTTTAGGAAAATCCTGCATAGTCCACCTTTAAGAGATTATATGTTTGGTCCAGGTTGTTTGTAAATTGGCTGCATGTCAAGGATTTGCTCACAGACTTAATTAAATTTGGTGGGAAGTTAAGCCACAGGACAGGCAGAGTGGAGGGCATGCACAGCCAAAAAACTTTGACAGGTGCTGGATCAAAAAAATCAAACTAAGGCAAGAGCCAGGCACGAGATCTGCACACTGTATTTAAAGCTCCCAGTAGCTTTATCATCCTGGTTCTTGCTTAAATTAAGTCATAGGCTAATGAACAAGTTATTATTTTTTATGCAGTCCTAGAGTCTTTAAAAGGATAACCAGACATTGTGAGATATGAGGATTAAAAATAGTATTTCCTTCTGATAAAATGATGTATTATGATGAGAAAATGAGGCTCACACACTTTGTGAATTAAGGTGCAAATCCAGATTAAAATGTGGATTTAGGGATTACTCAAAGTATTTTTTGACAGTGTGATACAGACGTTATTTTCTTTTGAGCTACTGGACTTATCTTTGTAAAATATTTTTGAAAGTCTGGTGCATGTATCCATAATTATCTGTTACTACTTTGGTTTAGATCTAAATTCAGATGTGGATACAGGAATTAAAACAAAAAAAAATCTTACTTATGTCATAGGTGGGGGAGCTACTTCGGCTAGCGTTGCTTTATGGCGGCTGTACCTCAGTATTTTCTGACCCATGAGTAGTTTTCCTACTGTTTCTAGTAACTCTGTTTTCCATCAGGAGCACAAAAATGTGTAGTCTTAGTACTTTCTAGTTACAAAGTGTGAGTTCATTTTGATTATCTAAGGTTAACATATTTCACTTTGTCTTCTGTAGCAAAAAAGATGCCAAAAACAGACACCCAAAACCCTACACATGCAGCGCGACACCGGGGAGTCAACCTCCAGGACCCAGACGCCCACTCCACCCGAGCCTGCTGCGGTGGGAACTAAACCTCCGCAAGTCCCACCAGTATTCCACCATCCACACCACCACAGCCCTTCAACCATCCTGTCTCCTTCAACCAACTTACAGGGGTGGGCCTGATGCGGGGAGACCCAGTGTCCACTCACCCTCTTACCCTCCACTCATCCTCCTGTCAAAGCAGACAGAAATTCAGAGACAGAAATTCAAAGGAGAGAATAAGAGGAAAGGAAGAGCGAGCACAGATGGAGGAGACGTGTCACACCTGCGTCTCTTGACCAGCAACTGAGATTCTGCGTTTGGAAAGAACGAGGGAGGTAAACTGAGATTGAGAGGAGGAAAATAAAGAATGTGGAAGACAGTGGCGAGCCTGTTGTAGTATTTAGCACTAATTGTGAACTTTCTTTTTCATCTCATTCTGCCTTGCATTGTTTAGTCACATCCCCGGTTGCGTAAAAATGCACAAAATGAGCAGCACATGCTGTCAAGTGGCCAAGAAAGCAAAGGAGAAAAAAGGGCAAAGACATAAAACAAAAAAAGCCAAAACGTAAAGTTGTGACCGCTTTCTTCTTCTCCGTTTGTCGGAGCTCGCGCCCGGCTTGCTTTGCCTCCTCCTAGACCAGAATCAAACAAATCCTGCTGTGAATATCGCCACATATTGTACCCCTGGAATGATCCCATGATTTGTAATCCCTCCCTGTCCTGCCTGACCTTCCCTGGTGTCACTGGCACTGTCGAGGCGCACATTAGATAAGACCCATGGCACAGTTTGCTCAAGTCCATTTGTACGTATTTATTGTCCTGTGTTCTGAGTGCTCCTTCCACTCACATCTCTCCTCTCTCTGTGTGAGGAAAAGATTTAAACTCTACATGATGGCTGGTTTTACATTGTGTTTCTGATTGATACTTTTGGTCTGATGGACTTGATATTTTAATGAAAGATTGCTGAAGTGCCGTGTTCCTCACACATTTTGGGTGTCAATGCCTTGCTCGAGTGCTATAAGGAAAAATGTGAAGCAACAGGCTGTCGCTGTGTACAGCAACGATGTAGGATTGATCTGGAGTGTATGTAGTGACATGACATTGAAGGCAAACAGGTGTTTTTAAACCTGTACCCTGTGTTCTCAAGTTTTTGTGTCTCAGTGACTAATGAAGACAACAATTTTGGAAGCTGGTCCAGTATTCAGAGAGGTCGCTGCAGCAAAACAGGCGATGTGCCGTCAATTTACATCCAATAAAAGTGCCTGTTTTTTTTGTCACTGACAGCTCAGATTATTAGGACTCATGTCAGACATTACGGGAAGGATCCCGACTGAGAAATGAAACACTTTTCTTTACTTTTCGCTGGTACGTTTGTCATTGTGTCTAACCAAGTCTCGTTTAAGAAGTCTTGTCCTAAAATCTTGCGAAAGGTGACTTACTGCAGCGAAACAATTGTGGAAACATTAGTATGAGTTGGATGATTTCCTTGTGCTTAAGCACAGAAATCTCACGAGTGTTATCGAAAAGGTTTTCAACATCATGGCTAATTATTTCGCTAATTTCGACTATATGGAAATGTCTGCAAAATTTGAAGTGAGACTTGGTTACACACAGTAACAAACAGACCAGGGGTCTCATTTATAAACATTACGTACGCACAAAACGAGGCCTGAAAGAGGCGGACACAACTTCCCACGTAAAAGTTGTGATTTATAAAAACAGACTTGATGGGAGACACTTTGACCCATGCTTACGAACATTTTAGAGACAACTGGCGACAGAGATGGAGAGGTGGATTGTAGAAATTGTCAAATATTTTTTGGTGCACACCATTTTTGGCTTTTGTTCGTACATACATTTCTAGTTAGGATCCTACGCACTGTTTTATAAATGAGACCCCAGATGAGTGAAAGTTAAAAAAAACTTTAATTCCTCTGTAGGATCGTTTTTATAACGTTATCGGACACTTCTATAAAGATAATGTGAGCTGTAGTCAAACCCACCAGCCTCCATTTAAATAAACAGTAATTTTAGCGTGCATAGAGGCAGCATGTTTTCACATCTAACTGGGTGAATTAAGGGTTTATTTCAACCACACCAGAGATGGTGATGGTTGGAACAGTGGAAAGACAAACCAAGACAGCTTTTGTTAATTGTCTTTTGTGTGTGTCGACGTTAAATGAAGTTTGTTTTATGATGATAAAATTACTGTCTATTTAAATGGAGTCTGGTTGGTTAGACTACGATGATTTTAGAGCTGTTTCTGGTTAATCTAAAGGGATTTTTCTCTGTAACAAACAGGTCTATCTCTGTAGGGATCCTTTCCATAATGTTATCAAACACATATTACAATCTGAGCCTGTCAGTGGCAAAACTTAACACTTTCACTGGACAGAAGTTGACAGTGCACAATTGCTGATGTGAATAAGCCACATCGCTGCTTGTTACATCCGTGCAGCGCTCTCTCTCAGTACTGGACCAGTTTCAAAAATTGTTGTCTCCATTTGTCACTTCGACACAAAACATGGGAAAACAGGGTCCAGGTTGAAATGACCAAAGTTTCCCTTTATCATTGCTATGTATGAGGAGAAAACTGTGAGCTCTAACTGATGACATGTCTGTAGCAGAGAACGTGTCCCTCACATACAACCCTTACAAATTCCCTGTGCAGAGTAAAAAAGGTTAAGCTAATTTTTCAATTATTGCAGGAGTGATGGGGCTCATGATCCATCTATGGCTCTGCCCAGATTAAATTACTGCCGTCAGATAAATGAAATATTGGAGACAGAGAGAAAGAAAGGAGGAAAGGAAACTATGAGAGTTGTAGTAAACCTGTACCATGTACCCTGTAGGAGAACATCTCCCCATCTTGTGTCCAACGTGTCCCTCATCTGTCACGTGTCCTAGGGCTAAGTTGTTGGTGAACATGAAACCATAGTGATTTTGAATGGTTTTGCTTTTTCATTTATCTCAATATGATGCTCTTAAAACAGAGTCGTGTGCTTGGTTGCTGTCTACGGCTTGGCTGAAGAAAAAAAAAATAAATAAATGAGGAAGTGAATTGATGAAAACACACACAAAAAAACAGAAGTGCCTATTCCCAGTTTTCTTTTTCTGTGAATCATGTTTGAGGCTTTCTCTAAGTGTGTGCTTGCTTCGTAGGCAACGTGCAGGAAAACCCATTTCCCTGACATCGGCTTGTACTATACAATAACCTGGCACCCTGTCATTAGGCTATACTGTATTGGCTCTTTGTATGGATGTAAAGAGATCTTGTTGAATACACTGTATGTTATATATTATTGTCTTAATTTTAATGAAAGTGTATGTTGATTTTAGCAGAGCACACTTGTGAACCTGGAATGGATCGTTTAAGAAAAAAAGGACTCTAATCGATGTTATAAATCTGTCTGATTTAAACACATACTGGTGTCCAGGAAAATCTTTTGCTGTGCTTTATTTTTAGAATCACAACCAGGCTTATTTAAAGGTGTTTTGATCACAATATGAACTAATTAAGGGTCTGAAAATAAGACTTGAATTTGAAGAACAATGCTGTTTTTAATTAGTTTTCAAACGAAAGCTGAAATGATTCGCTCTCTCCTCCAGGACACTAAGATCTCATTAACAGCATTCACTTACTCATCCTTCAGTGATCACAGGTAGGTTCAGTGTTCTGTGCAATTTAAACTTGATTTTTCATCAGCACCTTGAGTATGTAAAGTGTTCAATAAAGCTGTGAATGGCGCTTTGAGTGCAGAATGCTGATCGCTCTTCTTTCACTTGACTACTGTCTCTGATAACTAAAACAAAAGACAAAGTATTAAAGGTCCAGTGTGTAAGACTTAGTGGTATCTAGCAGTGAGGACTGCTGATTGCAACCAGCAGATATTCCATCAGTCCTCATTATTCAAGAGGTTCTAAATGGGAGCTGAATTATCCACAGGTCTATTTCTCTCCACAACAAGCAGATCAAGTGATTGAAACTGATGAAGAACACTGATTAAAGCAGTTTCACGTTACAAATCAGTGTTGCGCCGACACCGTTTGGCATGTCGGAGACGGGCCATTAGCCTAGCACCTGCTATTTTTTCCTCTGATAACTTAACATCCAGTCATTCAGGAGGTTTTTACCTGCAGCTGAATTATCTGCAGAGGTCTCCTCCTCTTCAAAATAAACAAACCTGGTGATTTAAACCAGTAAAAACACTCTAGTTTACATGACATTAGGAAAAATAGATTGAATGTGTTAGTCCGACTAAAACCGGACTTTTAAAATACATGTTAATGTGTTCATCCAACTGAAATTGTACTACAAAGTCGGACTAACACACCCAGATAATGTGATTGGAAGTCAAATTAAGTCAATCAGACCCAAACTGGCCGAGGTGCTCTGAGCATGCTCCACAGTTTCCGCCCCGGGCTTTGAATCAGAAGTCCAATAGCATTAAATGTGTAAGAGAAGAAGAAGCCGGTAACAACATGGAGAAATCTACATCCAGAGCCGTGACTTTTTGGACTGACCAAATGTACAGAGCTGTAAAGTTGTCCACCATGGTACCAGTTAGCTGCTAGCTAACCGTAACTAACTTGTTTGTCCATTGTTTGGTCTGTGACGTAATAGGTCAACAGGAAAAAGGTCCAATACTAACAAGCTGAAAGGGGGCATATCTCCACCTATCGTAGAGGAGTCGCACATACTTGGCTCAATAAATGGATTCCCCTCCCGTGCTTGTATACTGGGACAAGGACAGTAGTCCAGTTAAATGTCCTCGTCCAGCTGGAACAGTAGCTCCACTTCACTGTGACTGGGAACCTACTAAATTACGCAGTTTCTTGTGAAAAAACTCTGTGGTGTTTTTTGACACCCTTGTCATGGAAGGGCTGCTAACTGCGGTGGCCAGTGGGAATGGCTCTATCTTGAGTTTGGCTTGTCTGTTTTGGGCTACAGTAGAAACATGGTGATGCAATATGGACATGCACATCTTAGTAGCCGAAGGACCTGCTCCCAATGAAGATATAAACGGCTTATTCTAAGGTAACAAAAACGCAATTCTTCTTTTCAGGTGATTAATATTAAAGAAAACATAATATATTATAAATAATAATATTTGGCAACATATTCGCATACAAAGTCAGAATGTGACATGTTAACAGTTGGATTTATTTACATAATAAACATGTGTCTGAAAAATCTACATAAGTCTGGAAATTTGAGTTTAGAAAAGTCTGGAACTTTGAAATGGAAAATGTGTAGAAACCCTTAAAATACATTAATAGCCACAATTCATTTGTTCCTTTTGCCAACTGGCTGCACAACTGTGTATGATGTGATTAATTCATTTAAAAACAAGTCTCCTCTCGTTGCCGTTGTCTTGAAATTATGTCCAAAAAAATTAACACAAAACCCAAAAATCTGTTTCCTAAAATTCCCTTGGTTCAATTAAAATATATAAAAATAATATTAAAACAAAGAGACAACATCTTTGTGGTTATCATCTATAACCTTTCTGTAGAGACTGAATCCAGAAACTAACCCTCTTTAGTCGTCTGCTGTCTGCTGTACCTCTGCTCTGTCACGTCAGCAGCAGACAGAAAATATTTAAACGAATACTAAGTTTTACAACTCAGTGAAACTAATGAAGTGTTCACTCTGTGACAGATGGTATGTAGTGAGTCCTCACCTTTGGCCTGATCTCACCCTGACCTCTAACCCTCACTCTCGTCATCCTCCACTGCTGTATAGATGACCTGGTTCCTGCGTTTGATTCTCGGAGTCGGGTCTCTGCTGCCAGGAGCCTCGGCCTCGTCACTGGTACGTTTTGGGACACGTACAGCTGAAGCATCTTCAACATCGTCCTCACAGTGTTCTTCCCTTTCTGCTCCAGAGTTAGTGCGGACTTTTGCTGGCGTAGAGTGAGAGGGAGGCGGCAGGTTCATCAGTTTGGACAGTAGATTGGGGGAGGCGTCAGATTTGGGCGGAGGCAGAACCATGCGGCTGGGGGTGTGGACTTCACCTACAGGTACATCCGAGAGCTGAGCTCCCTTTACTGCTGCCTCTGAGTTAGACCTGTCCTCAGCCTCCTCGTTTCCCTCCTCTTCCTCCCACTCATCCTCTATTGTGATCTCATCAGGGTTAAATGAATTGGACAATCCTGAGGTGTCGGTCGGGTACTCGCTGGGCTCATCCGCACTTCCCACACTATTTCCATCTTCATCATCCTCCTCTCCTCCAGTACTGCCCTGAATTCTCCCCAGATCACCGCCTCCCTGCCCGGCGTAGGCGTAGAGGTCTGTGAGACCTAACGTGGCACAGAGCTCAGTGGTCTGAGGGTTGGTGCTGCAGCTGGGAGCGGCGTGGGGCTGAGGCCTGTTGGGGTCATACGGAGTCACAGTCTGGCTGAAGTTGTCTGGAATGGCGAGGTCACCGTTGAGATCCTCCACTACCTGCATCATGGCCACCTCTGAGGGTCTGAAGTCCCACCTGATGGGTACAGACAATCCATATATAATAAACAGCATGAATCAAAAGTACAAGCCCATCACCTGTGTCACTGAGCATCTTACACCTGCTGCAGAGTGGCACACAGCACAGCACAACTGTTGTTACTAGTTTCAGACTGACAGTTGTCATTTTTAAGACCAGCGCCCATGTTGTGTATGTAGCAACTGTACTTAAGTCCATCTGTGCACCCATGGGCATGTAGGTCTTAAAATAAGTAAAATATTAATGACAATTTCATAACTGTATTGAGATAAAATGATTATATGCACATCATAAAATACATATCAAAAAAACGGTGCACATGAGGAAACCAATGCCTGTGTACTTACTCCATGCCAAGCAAGTTTAATAGACAACATTTCGAAGCAGCATAACTTCATTGATTAATTCAGCAACTAAAAGTTTAGGTCTGTTTCCTCTGTCAAGTTTAAACTTCAGTTTTTAGTTTTGCTGCTTAAATGTCCCCAGTTTTACTGCTGTTACTGCATTACTCTCAGCAGAAAACTGCTTGCTTCTCCACTTTGCCAAACCCACCATGTAAACAGCAGTGTGCCAGGTGCAGGCACCAGTGGCTTTTAAAGGGAATGGTAGGCAACACTCTGATTGGCTGAATAATCTCACACCCAAAACACACCTATGATTAATTAAGGGACTGGATACAACCCCTTTGCCCCTTGTGCCTTACTTTGCAAAAGCAGAGTTGGACACACCCCACATGCACTTGTGCCATGCATATATAAAACTACGTTGAAGCTGCAAAAGTATGAGAGGGAATTTTCAGCAACTGGTTGATTAACTATTACACCAGCTACATTATTTTAAGCATCAGTCCCGAAAAATTTCCATTAAGAGCTTGTCTTGTCTTACAATAAAGTAAACTGAATATGAAAAAGAAAGGCTTTGTGTATAACATGTACGGGGCTGACTGTGCTGCAACTGTAAGATGAGCACATAACAGAAAAAAATAGATTTAAAACACACACACATCACTAGGTTTTTCCTTCATTCTGTGCCCCCTCTCTAAAATTGAGGTTTTTGCGGGTCTGTTTACTCAGCACATGTATACCTTTCTTCTCCCTCAGGAGCAGTTTGTTAAGTTTGAGCCTTGGGGTGGAGAACTGATCAGTTTGTGGTCAGACTGATCAAAGCTAATCAGATCAGATTGATGGATAAGAGAAGCAGTTGCTACAGAGGAATGCAAAGGAGTGCAGCTGGTTTTCTCTTCAGTCGGGTGTAAAAGACAAAGACAATACTAAAATGCAAGCGCTCTTAAAAAAAAAAAAAAAAGCGTTCTATGTCTATAACTTAACAAATGGTTAAGTTTCAGTTTCAATGTGCCTGACACTCTGCTGCTCCATCTGTGCCCAGAGTACTGAATTTGCTCTGAATGACTGAACGGTATATATATTCCAACAACACTTCTGAGTTAATGATGCAGCCCCTCTTGCAAATGCTGACACTGTGGCAGGGCTGCCACAAACAAATTAATGTGTGGGGAACCTGTAATTATATGTCTTAATATCTGTGTACCGTTCATGCAGGCCATTATCCTCTGGGGGGTTCCAGGGGTTAGGGGTGGTCCTCTGCAGACTGTTGGTGGCCTTCAGAATAGCAAGCCACTCTGGATCATACTCAAGACCCTCAGATGAACCCGGTCTGTCTGGCACATCCACAATCTGCAACACAAGCGTATATGTCATCACCTAGCACGATCACTACACCTTCAACTAGACTGTGACCTCAACACAACAATCTCTCACCTGTAAGAATTCCCTGTAGGGCAGACATTTATCCAGCGACAGGAATTTGGTCAGACGTGGGGCAGCGTTACCTTTGGGCTACAGACAAGAGCATTCACTGAGTTGGTGTAACATATTGGTACATTAGACTGGCGCCCAGAATTATTAAAATCAACACCTAAGACATATCAGCTGCTGATACTGACAGGAGCAACAATTCAGCTCGCTGCACACAAACTGTGATTCTTACCGGATGCTGCATAACAGCAGCAAATTTGACATGCAGATGAGCAGAGAACCAGTAGCTGGGCTGGAGGTAAGCTAGGAGCTCCTCTGCAGCAGGACTGCCCAGAGTGTTGGACTCCACCTCCTGACGCAGAAACTTCTTCTTTCGCAACAACTCGCCCGTACTGCCATAGTGGTAGATTCCACGAGGCCAGTCGTGGCTCATAAAAATGTCGATGGGCATCTGGATCTTAGTGGAGATAAGTTTTTATGAATTATTATTAGTAAATATTGTTGAGATAATTTTTTTTAAATGTGTGCAAGAGAACAAGCTGAATCTACGATATTTACCTGTTTTAATTTGAAGACCTCAATATTTCGGATGTGGTAAACACTTCGAAGTGTATCAGGATTGTATGGAGGGAATTCATGGTGACCTTAAAGAGCACACATTTCTTGTAAACATAGTGCATGCATAGTGTTTATAACTTCAACCATTAGACAGTAAATAAAAACGTACCCCTTCTGTAGTCGCGGGACTTGAAGATTCCAGACAAGCCGCCAATTCTGATCCCTTTGTAGCGGACAACACCAGCATAACCTATGGAAATACGGTCAAATCAGGACTGGGGAATAACAGTAAGAAGAGACAATAATAATAGCAGCTCATGTCAGGTGGTCCCTACCCAGGTAATAGATGTTGGGCGCCACCCAGCCGCCATATGGCAGCTCCTGCAGGTGGTTGGAAGCCTCATGGTTCCCTCCGATGAAGATGGTCAGGACCGGAGCCTTCTTCTCTCCAGAATAGTATCTGCAACAAAGACAGTAAAGTTTTAACCTCCCTCACTGACATCTTGCACTTTTAAAACACTGAAACTAAACAGAGAACTGACTTGTAAAAGGTCTGCATCGTCCTGTACTTGGCAGGTACCGCCATGCACTTCATGTCTCCCTCATTTCGCACTGCTTGAAAGTCTCCGCAGCAGAGCAGCAGGTCCACTTTCACCCCTTCCTTCTTCTCCAAATAGCCGATTGTCTCGTAGATCTTGTCCAGCTCGCCATGGCAACAGCCCTCCACTGCAATCTTCATTCTGCACAAATAGGTGAGCTGCTGATCCCCAGATAAAAGTCACAGTAAGGGTTGGTTTGTATTCTGTGCCCACTGAGGGGCGGTCAGCCTCCACACTCAGGGACGCTGAGGACGGCTCCTTTGTAAATAATCGGTTGGTGATCTGTGGGGAAACAAATAACACAAAGTTCAAAACACTGGTGGTGCTATTCCTTTCACTGAAAAGGATCAGCCATGACAGGAGATTACAACATGGTTTTAAATAAGGCTGCAAAATTAATCCAAATATTATTAATATTGTGATGCTACAGAGCTGCCCTGGCCTAAAAATCATATTCCAGATGTAAGGGAACATGCTTGTTTGGTACAGACTGAAAATGAAATGCAAAGATGACCATTCCCACTAAAATCCTGACACATATTGCAGTTGTAGTATCTGTCAAAGTAATTAGGGCTGCAGTGGTGCATCCTAATTTTGAGGTAAAACGTGGTATAAAAATTGACATTTATCCTACAGTGTACATTTGCTTGTCTTTGGTATTGAGAAAAAAAAGCAAAAAGATGGAGAATCTTACCTTAATTTTAATTATTTTCAGAAGGGAGACTTTTTACATACAGATATATTTGCATTGAAATTTTTTTTTTTCCATATCACGCAGCCCAAGTTTTAGGTCAGTGGGTCTGACATTAAATTAAAGCTGCAACTATATGTCTAATAATCAACAATAAATTAATTGACAACTGTTTTTTCTGGAATAATTTGTCATTTTTTAGGCAAAATATAGAAACATTTTCTGCTTTCATGCTTCATAATTGTGAAAATTTTATGCTTGTCTTTGTCATACGTGATAATAAAGTGAATAGCTTTGGGTTTTTGGATGGTTGATTAGATAATAGGCTACCTATCATTTGCAAACATCACCTCAGGTGTTTTTCCTACATTTTATTGTTACAACAATTAAGAAAATAATCAGCTGATTATTTGATACTGTGTTCAAGCCAGTGGAGTAAGGTGGTTACCAGGGGCCCCAGTGCATGCTAGTTACGAGTTACAAGGCACAAACACACACACCATTTGCAACTGTTTATAAAAATGCCTCCTATTCATTCCTTGCTTGTTCTTTCTTACTTCTGCTTCTGTTTAAAAGGCATGACTGCTTACTGTACCTGCAGATGTGTTCAACTTGTCAGTCTTGACAGATTTTGTGCCTAAACTAGCTCCTTCATCGTATCGTCTTGTCACATGATCAAATAGAGACTTCAACATTAACATATAGGCTACACAACAATCATCACTGCAGATCTGTACATGACAAAATATCAAAGAAAATAAGAAATGATTCATTATTTAATCATTTATTATTCGTTCATTTAATTTAATAAATATATAGTTAATTCATATTTTTTATAGTTTATGTAGAATAAGCACTTGATTTTGTTATAGCTTACTACTGACTATTTCACCCCAAAAAGAAACGAAAATCATAATGGTGATGGGTTTGCATTTTCCAGGGCAAATAGCCTATAGTAAATGGCACCATTTTAATTTAATCTGAGTTTCTTTTTTTTATATAAACACAGTGTAGTTCTGAGGTGGTAATCTAAATCATTTACAAAGGCCAACCCTTCCCACAGGCTCCAGTGCAACTGCACTGTTTGTTTTTACGCCCCTGGTTCAAGCCTATCAACAGTATTGTCGGTCAATGTACAGAGAGTTGACTTAATTTTTTTATTTTGGTTAAACTTGCTGTAAATTCAAATAATAGGGGGCTTAAATTGGACTTTCCAATACAGTGGCAGGTATCATCTTTAAGTCAGAGTAAGCACAGAACAGTCAGTGTTAAGTTTCATATTTAAATAAAGGGTGTACTGAGAGGCAATGAAATGAAATCCATGGGAACAGAAGCTGTTAGAGTGGCAGGACTGTCTGTGTCCACTTTCATCACTGCACCTGGCGTTAGGGCACAGTTACTTTGGGCTTGTGGAGCTCTTTAAAACGTGTATATTGTATCACCTTTATCTGACACATGAGGCTGTTCGTACTTGGCATTCAGCCTAATCAAGTCCACAAGGCCTTTGCAGTAATTAGTCTGTCCAGTCACTTACAACACACCGTTAGTTAACAACTTCACTGCTAAAACTAACCACATAACAAAACATGCATTAGCTAGCTAAGCTACGAAGGTTATAAATGCCCCTCAACGTTACACGGTGTTAAAACGACCACCAACGGTCGTGAACCGTGTTTCTCACGTTAACACACAAACAAAACTAAACAAGGACACAAACAGAGCACTTACGGTGATTAATGAAAAACTGAAGAGTGTCTGTCGGGTTGTGTGCTCCGTAAAGTTAGAAACTTCTCCTGAAAATCATGTTTATGTCTCGAGTATGAAGAGACCCCATAGAATGAATTTTCCCACCTCGCAGCTATCACTAAAGCGCATGCGCGAAACGTCATCAGCGCTTTGATCAACGGAAGCAGATTCAACACAAAAAATGTTGAACGCAGTTATTTATGTTTATGTATTTATTTATGAAGATATAGTATTGATTGCTAAATGTGAAAAAAAATCTGTATATAATCTTAATTTTATTTATTTATTAGATAGTTCGTATGGGTGAAGTTATTGTGTTGAATCTACCACACCGACACACCACCTACGTCACATTTATAAACAAAATTTACTTCATTGACAAATCCAGTGTGTGACAGACAGCTCGCCAAGTTAGCGGTGTTGTTTTCTGTTGTATATCTGCTGCTAGTGTTCACAACCGAGCCCACGGAGGATTACAGGGACCTGTTTTCAGCCCAACACCAGCGAGGAGCGGCGAGATTCAGCTACACTTACTTTTTTTAAAAGCCGCTCACAGCTGCTCTGGGGGGCGGAGTGTCTGCAAAGTGCTGCGCCGATTGGGGCGCTCGATCGGGGGAAGAGAGATGGCGTGCTTGTTGGAGGCCCCACTCCGCATCAGTGTGCTGTCTGTGAGTGTCACTCATGATTTTTGAATAGCGTTGTCAAACTAACAGTGTGCTCACTCCAACTGTGCGCGGCTGGTGTCATTCGCTCGGTCATATGAAGGAGCTAGGAGCTGTCAGAGCTGTGCAGGGTTTATGTGTCCTGTTAGCCTGCAAGCTAAGTTAAAGGCTTTGCAACACATAGCGCTGTAGCGGTCCGCCTACGTCGCTGATGGTGGGAACAGTTTTGTGTCCTGACTTCGCCCGCACGGGCGGGGACGGTCTGAACATGTCAAGCTATGCACGCGGGTTATGTGTCCGTTTGCGCCGTCGGTGTATCAAGGAAAGAAAATCAAACGAGCGAAGTACCTGTCAGTGTCACTCGGAATGAGTTAGCAGCTAACTGCTAAGTCCTCACTGTTCCAAACACGCTTAAATTATCCCGTATTGCACAATGGAAGATAAGTTGCAGGATTTAGCTTTTAAAATAGCAATCATCCGACATTATTTGTACTAAACCATTGCAGCTTGCTAATCGCAGCAGCAGAGTTACCATTTTTAAGCTAGCTAACGTTATGTGCTCTAAGTAACGTCGGCTAACCACTAGCTTCTGGTTAAGCTAGCGAAGCTAACACACTGTAACTCATGGATTGCCGACTTCTTGAGGAGTTTTCTACCCGGCAAAATGAGCTTTATCAGCAGCCTAAAGTCTAGCAGTTAGCTAAAGTGTGTTATTATAGTTTATTTTCAGCAGGTGACAGTGGCTGTCAGGTGTAACTTAGCTAAAGTTAGCTTTAAAAGGGTAAAGCTAGCGAAAAGGAGCATAGCTAGGGCTTCAGTAGTGAAACGCCCCCACGTTGGAGACATGCAGAGGGGAGACTCTTAGATATTGTGACAGCTTGTCCATTTTTCAAATGTTATTTTTATGCTTTCCATAACAAACACATTACAGAAGCATTTAAAGGGTTAGAATAAATACAGAGCAAAACAAAAGAAACATGACAGGATCTGAGACCAGTTGCACAAAACACCTTAAGTGTGACGCTTAAAGCTTAATTTCTCCTTAGCTGAGGGACTTACACAGTTGCACAGAATCATTCTAAGGGATTCTTTAGTTAAGGAGTGATGTTAATTCATTTAATGTGTTGAAATAGATTTCACAGCAGTAAAAGTTTCCATGGAGATTGTTTGTTTGCTTGAACTCAGGCTTGTGACCCCTGTTATCGTCTCTCAAAGTGGGCTTATAGTGAGATGGTGAAAACATAGCAGAAGAGAAGAAGACAAAGAAACCATACTGGTCAGAAAAGGAAGGGGTTAAACTCCTGGTGGAATACAGTCATAAAAAGCTCAAACTATAAAGTGAAGGTGATCCCAAATAGCAGGAACCTGAAAACGACTGTAGGAAGAGGCAGCAACAATGAATTCAGTCACGTATTGTGTAAAATCAAAAGCGTATTCACCGAGTTCCCCTGGTCGTAGAACACTATCCTCGGAGTGTGTTAGTCTTTTTCATTTATCATCATAAACTCAGTCATGTTGCAGTTAAGACAGAGTCAGAGGGACCGTTTTTTAAACCATGCTTTGGGTGCTGGATTCCTTAAATATAAGACCAAGGCAAGGAGAAAACCATTAACACTGGAGTGAACGTTTTATGGAAACCTTAACTAGGACTTAAAGAAAAATCTTAACAACATATTCATTGATTCAGTCTCTTACCTTGGCGTTGACATGTAAACAGTGCCCATTTCTCTCAACAGCACTCCTCTTTGGTTCTAATCCAATGAGTTTACAGTGCCATATCATATATTTAATTGTGCTGGCAGTTCTGCCTTGTACCGTCTCTTTGTGATGGTCGTTTTACAAGCTGACAACAAGATTTTCCAGAGATATCTCTCTTCTCTTAACACAGCTTGACCTGTCATATTGCCAAAGATCTAGGGAGGCATGATACTGGATTTTTTGCCAATATGTAACAACTCATTTGATCAGAACCGATGCATCTGTGGTGGAAATAACATCATATTATGCATCCATGCTCGTTTCATGATGGCGCACCCGCAGATAGAGAATTCTGGTAATAACCATAATAACATTTACCCAAAACTACAATTTCAGGACGAAGCCAGGCTACATAGATATGGTCCACATTTATTGCCCCACACATGGTTGTGCTATAGACAAGTATTTGCTTTAATTTGGGGTGAAGTAAAAAATCTGTTCTTCCAGCAGTGTTCTCTCCAAATACATGAGGCTTTTATTACTCCTTTGAACATACGCAGCCCTGTTGTTGTGTGTACTGTATTTATATGATAAACATTTGAGCTAAATGTAATGACTGCATATCAAAGACAGGTCTGTGCAGGCACCAGAAGCCAATAGAAGCAGTGTGTTTTCAGCAGGGTGAGGTTTGCTCCTCTGGGGTCACGCAGAAAGTTCTGGCTTAAGCTGTCCATGATATAAACACAGTTTTCTGGTGTCACATGCAGCCGCTGGGTGCTATGTGAAACAGCTTTTTAAAGGGTCCTGCCATGGAGGCTGCTGCTGTATGTGTTGGTGTGCATGCTTTTATTTATGTGGAAAGATCAAACAGTAATTATTTAACACGGTTTAGTTGTGTTTCCTAACATTTGAATGTCTTTAAATTCTTGTTGTTGCTCCAAATTATGCAGACGTAGTGCGACAGACTCGGTCTCTCAGCCTGGCAACTTTAGTTTGATGTTAAATTGATCTTGAAATGTATGAATGGCTCTTAAATGTTAAAATCTGTTCATTATATTTATTATTTTTTGCTGCGTGTGTAGCTGTGTGAGAGAGAAATTGAGTAAGATACAATGCCTTTCTAGTAGGTTCGCCCTAAGTGGGAAATGTACGTCAGTGAACATTGTCTCTAACGTTTCTGTTATATTTGTCCCCACACAGGAAGTCACTGCCACTAGTCGCCATTATGTTGACAGACTGTTTGACCCCGACCCACAGAAAGTGCTGCAGGGAGTCATGTAAGTCCAGCAGCACTTTATATATATCATCTTCTCTGGGACAGGAGGCAGTAAATGACATCCCGTCCTCGCAGGTGGTTGGCTACATTTTGAAGAGTGGTTATTGCTGCTATCTCACAGCCAACACACCGAACGAGGGTGGACTTGATGTTCTTTTATTCTTATTTCTTTGCCAATCACTGATTAAGTTCCTGTGCCTGTGTGTTGGTTGAGTGAGCAGCATGACCTCTGTGTTTACATGCACAGGCTTTCATGTGACGATCTATTTCAAAATGTATTTCACTCATCAGTGTGACTTCATATCTCTCACTCTTGCTGTCTCTCTCGATGGCGGTGACCTGGACTCTGACTGTTTCACTGTTATTTTTAACTTCAGAGGAGACTAGCTCTGGTTACGGCTTGTAGCGCTCCGCTAGCCGAGCACCTGACTTGACTGCCTGCTACAGCTGTACTTTTCCATTAGCCTCACTCACCTGCTATATGATATCATCTGGGGTGCCGGCAGAGCGGAGGAAAAGCTGCGTGGAAAACAAAATGCAGTGCATGCAAATGAAGCGGCTCGTTCTGTGTCCGACAACAACATGTGGAACATCTGCTTTATGTAAATCTCCTGTGTTTCAATATGGAAATGTCGGCCTGGCTGCCCTCTGGCTGCCCTCTGTCATAAGTTCTCTAAAGATCTGACATCTGACAAGTTCCCAGATTGTCACTGCCTTATTACCTAACTTCACATCTTGTTCTTTTGCACCTACATGTTTATGCTGTTAGAAAAAATTCCCTGCAAACTGCATAGAATTACGCTGTACGCTACAGGCCATAATCTGGGTTACCATTTCAACACTTAAACTTTTGCTACTGAGTTCAAATTTGTCTCAGTTGCCTCAAGTAGATTGCAGAGAAGGGTCCTCATCTGTGTGTGTCTGTCTGGCTTCACAGTGACATGAAGAATGCTGTCATTGGAAACAACAAGCAGAAGGCCAATCTGATCGTCCTCGGAGCTGTGCCGAGGTATGTCCCTGCACACCCGTCCACCTCTACTCCTTCAGATTTTCTGACTATTAAAACTTGTATTCAGCTACACTCAAGATACAGACGTGACATTTGAGTTACATAATGTTTTTGTTCAGACAGACACTAAATGAAAAATGACAATGGCTGCATCTGAAATTCCGCACTAACATGTTACTTAGTCGACTAAAACAGCACGTGAGATCTTTTAGTATGTCCAGAACCTCAGCACCTGTGTGAAATATTGCAGTATGCAAACATTGGACACTACGCTGGCATAAATATCCCACAATGCAGTGTCGTAGTGACTACAGTGTTTACAACAGCAAAGAGGCCGTGCTGTTATGTCATTAAGTAATAAAAACCTTGAATAACTTTGATCATGAGTCCTCCACCTGATGTGCAATTTAGCAAACATAACATGACGTATTGTTGTGGGGAAATCATCACAGATGGATGACATATGACAGTTAAGGAGTTTTGTTTTGGGCACAACATGGTTTGGCCTTTTTGTTAGCAATGCTAGTGTTGTGGCTGCGGGGACGTCTGTCGGTCACTCCACCACTGATCCAGACTGAAATATCTCCAAAACTATTTTGATAGCATGCTGGGAAATTTTACCTGCTAAACATCTGCTTGTTAGCATGGTGATGTTAGCATTTAGCACTGTTAAAAATATATATTTTTGAAAGGGGAGGACACGCAGTAAAGGTGCTCTAGTCTGGACTCAAACCTGGGTCACTGCATTAAGGAGTGAGGCTCATTTATACTCCGAAAACATCACTGCCCTCATACTTCCATGTGTCCTTTATGTCGGCGTAAATACAGCCAATAGATGGCACTAGAGGGCGGAGTCAAAGTTTCACACAAGAACAAACAGGGTGACAGTGGAGTAGGTTATGATATTGGACCTTTAAACAGAGACAGCATTGCAGATGGTGGCAGTCTGTGAGGCCATTAAATACATCCCGACATGTGGATGGAGAATTATTGTCACTATATCACCAATTTGTTCCGTTCCACCATTATTTAAATTTCTTTGTCGTCTCCTACAGTCATATCTAGCTTGAACTACGCCACACTGCCTCCACGATCTCCAGTGGTACTGCCTTGTTTCGTCTGTAACTGTAAGCTTTCGGAAAACATGCACAAATATGGACAGAATGACCAGAGTGCGGACAGAAGGCTCCATACGTCTCTGTCTCCGTATCTAACGTTGAGCATAAATGAGCCTTTAATGGTGCACACTCTACCCAGCGCTCTAGCATTTAGCTAATTCAAGCATCACCTGGTGACCAAGATGCCTGTGATGTTACGTTACACAACAAGTTTGCCTGCAATTCACATTTTCTTACATCCAAAGTAACTACTCCTACAGAGGGGATGGAAAAACCCAACCAAACTGGAGAGGTTCATAATGCTTGTAGACACCGGTAGAGCTAAATTTGGCACTGGTTATTATAGTTATGCGTCTCCAACCGGAAAGGAGGCTCTCAGAAAGTGGCGCAGTAATCACAGCTCAGTGGTTCCCAAAATATACAACTGATTGCGTATATAAAAGTTTGTTGAACGATAGCACACATATTGGGTATGTGGTGCATAGTATGAGATTTCAGACGCAGCGAATGTCACAAAATAAGTGTAGAAATACAACAGAAATATCAAAGTGTAAGACTTTAACTTCCAAGCATCATCTACCCTCCACCTTTAACACCCTTTACAGTGAACTTGCTTCTGTGTGTGTGTGTGTGTGTGTGTGTGTGTGTGTTCATCTGCTCCAGGTTACTGTACCTGCTTCAGCAGAGCTCGTCCAGTCTGGAGCTGCGGACAGAGTGTGCCGTGGTGCTGGGCAGCCTCGCCATGGGCACCGAGAACAACATCAAGTCCCTGGTGGACTGTCACATCATCCCTGCCCTTCTTCAAGGTTGGAGCACACACACACACACACACACACACACACACACACTTAATGCATGCAAATACTTAATGTAAAGGACGACATGTTTGGTGACATGAAGAGAGCTTTACAGCAGCTGCGTTGTGCTCGCAGGTCTTCTGTGTCCGGACCTGATCTTCATTGAAGCTTGTCTTCGGTGTCTCAGAACAGTCTTCATCAGTCCAGTCACCCCTGTGCAGCTGCTCTATACTGTAGGTTGTCTTGAGTGTACTACAAAAACACATACGATACACACACATTCTGTCCCTGCATACAGTTAATCAGTTCAGTTGTCCTCTAGACTGAGTCTAACTATTGCCATTTGTTTGTAGGACCCCACTGTGATTCCCCATCTCATGTCTCTACTGAGCCGCTCACAGAGAACACAGGAGTACATCACACAGATCTTCTCCCACTGTTGTAAGGTATTTGTTGGTATTCGCACACACACACAAACGCAGTGGAGTCCATCACACTCGTGGCTCGAAGAAGATTCATTGTTGATTGGTTGTTTGTTGTCTCCAGACCCCGGAGCACCAGACGGTTCTTTTCAACCACGGTGCCATCCAGAACATTGCCCCTCTACTTATCTCACCCTCTTATAAGGTGTGTGGGCGTCTGTCTGTGAGTGTTTTCATTTACCTGACTGGATGATCACTTCTTTCACACACAGTTGCCTCTGTTTATCTTCTTCTGACCTTGTTGTCGCTGCAGGTCCGGATGCAGGCGTTAAAGTGTTTCTCAGTCCTGGCCTATGAGAACACTCAGGTCTCCATGACACTGGTGAATGGTGAGTCTCGTCTCTTCGCATCTTATCTCTTCTGTTCTCGTCAAGTCTCGTCTCTTCTCTTTGCATCTCATCTCTACTCTTCATGTCTTGTCTTTTCTTTTTGTATCTGGTCTTTTCTCTTCGCGTCTCTTCTTTTCTTCGCGTCTCTTCTCTTTGCTTCTTGTCTCTTCTTTTCGCATCTTGTCTCCTCATTGTCTCGTCTGTTCTCTCTTTTCTCTTGACATTTTGTCTCTTCTTTTTGCATCTCATCTCTTCTCTTTGCGTCTTGTCTCTTCTCTTTGTGTCTCTTCTTTTCTTTGCGTCTCTTCTCATTGTGTCTGGTCTCTTCTCTTTGCATCTCTTCTCTTCACGTCTCATCTCTTCTCTTCTGGTCTCTTCTCTTCATGTTTTGTCTCTTCTGTTTGCATCTCGTCTCTTCTCTTCACGTCTTGTCTCATCTCTTCTGGTCTCTTCTTTTCTTCACGTCTCTTCTCATTGTGTCTCGTCTCTTCTCTTTTTTCTCTTCACATCTTGTCTTATCTCTTCTCTTCTGGTCTCTTCGTGTCGCTTCTTTTCTTCACATCTCATCTCTTCTCTTCTGGTCTCTTCTCTTTGTATCAAGTCTTTTCTCTTCGCGTCTCTTCTTTTCTTCGCGTCTCTTCTCTTTGCTTCTTGTCTCTTCTTTTTGCATCTTGTCTCCTCATTGTCTCGTCTGTTCTCTCTTTTCTCTTGACATTTTGTCTCTTCTCTTTGCATCTTATCTCTTCTCTTTATGTCTCGTCTCATCTCTTTGCATCTCATCTCTTCTCTTTGCGTCTTGTCTCTTCTCTTTGTGTCTCTTCTTTTCTTCGTGTCTCTTCTCATTGTGTCTCGTCTCATCTCTTCTCTTCTGGTCTCTTCTCTTCTGGTCTCTTCTCTTCGTGTCTTGTCTCTTCTTTTTGCATCTCGTCTTTTCTCTTCACGTCTTGTCTCTTCTCTTTGTGTCACGTCTCTTCTCTTTGCATCTCGTCTCTTCTCTTCACGTCTCGTCTCTTCTCTTCTGGTCTCTTCTTCACGTCCCTTCTCATTGTGTCTCGTCTCTTCTCGTTTTTCTCTTCACATCTCGTCTCGTCTCTTCTCTTCATGTCTCGTCTCTTCTCTTCACATTTCGTCTCCTCATCTCCTTTCCTCTGAGCTTCACTTTTTAACCCCAGTCTGTCTGTGTTTTTGTCTCCAGTGCTGGTGGATGGCGAGCTGCTCTCTCAGGTATTTGTCAGAATGATGCAAAGGGATCAACCCATAGAAATGCAGCTAACAGCAGCCAAATGGTGAGTGACATAAATCCATATGAATCAATATTATAAGTCTATATTTCCTATGTGCTCTTTCCGTGAGTGTGACCTCTTCTCCTTCTGTCCCAGTCTAACATACATGTGTCGAGCGGGTGCCATCAGGACAGACGACAGCTGCATAGTCCTAAAGGTCAGGCTTTTCTGAGACCTCTGCACCTGCACCTTTATTAATCACTAAGATATTATATCACTTCTTTATTTGATGTGCATGTCACTTCCTGTTTTTCAGACTCTGCCGTGCCTCGTGCGGATGTGCAGTAAAGAACATTTGCTTGAGGAGAGGGTGGAGGGTGCAGAGACACTGGCCTACCTGATGGAGCCTGATGTGGAGCTGCAGAGGATCGCGAGCACCACTGACCATCTGGTGGCCATGCTGGCCGACTACTTCAAATACCCCAGCTCTGTGTCCGCCATCACTGACATCAAGAGGGTGGGTCAGTGGGCCTGAGAGGGCCCTTTACATGTCACATGGGCAGGTGTTTAATGTATGTGTCAGGACTGTGTCATCACACTGACAGAACAATAGTACATGTCCTCATTTGCATAAAGTTGAATCTAGGCTACTTCATGCAAATCAGGTGACACCAGCACAACTCCCACCTTTGATAGCTCATGAAAAACTTTTGAAGGAGCCGTTGTTTTTAGAACATGAAGCTTCCCGCTGCACAAATAACCCACTTACATCTGTTTTTTTTAATGTAATAGAAAGGTTAAAGTCGGCATTCACAACCGGGTAAAATGACTCAGCAGTAGTCACGGGTAATTACCAGTTCTGGGTCTGATTGGCTTTGATGGAAACACAACACCCTGATGAACACAGTAATTCTAGCCCCTTTACCGGCGAGATGCAACGATGCTACCACAAAATACCGTCTGTCTCCGCACCAAGCAGCGCTCAAACATCGTTCCAAATGAGTCTGTGCTGAGTTTGAAAGAGAGACTGAATAAAAAAGAGGTATATCAAAAGAAGTGACCAGGCCTCCGTGCGGCTTTCTACAATTTACTAACCTGTTTTTAAGCCTGTCCATGACATCAAACATGACACACCAAAAAACACACACACAGAAAGGCATATTTGCTGAGTCTTCCAGTGTTTAAAAACCCATGTACACATGCTAATTTTGGATGAAAAGGGTTGTAAGAGAACATTTCCAAACAAGCTGCAATGTTGGTTTGGTTTGAAATACAAGAGGAGACAGCCCATGTGCCAAGTGACGCGACCCCTCACGTCCAACAGTGTCCCTGCTGACATGTACCACAGCTTATAGCCACGCTAGCAGCACCATGAGGCTGCGCTTCGAGCTAAATGCTAATGTCAGCATGCTAACATGTTCACAGTGACAATGCCAACATACTGATGTTAAGCTGGGGTCATTTTTTCTATGTTCACATCCTTAATTTTGCTTGTTGGCATGCAGTCATTTGCTAGTTAGCACTAAAGGCAGAGTACAGGGACAAAATGGCGGACCGACCAGCCTTTAAATCTCTAGAGCCGTGCCGCTTGCATGGCTAATAATGATAATCACGATCTTATTTCTTAATAAGGCCAATTAAAGGCTATTTTTATCAGAATAGTTTATTTTGCTCAGACTTCCAGACAGCGCTTCAGCCAGTCTACTTATGCCGCTATAATCAGCTATGACCCAATAATCTTAAGTGCATCTGAATGTCGTCATTTGTGGTTCATATTTCCCAGAAACGAGTCTAATTATGAATGTCATCCACGGAGCAAAATCAGATTATTGGGAGTGGAAATGGAGCCTTATGAAACGCCTGACCTTTGATCAAGTTTAAAGATCTCATCTTTGTGTATGAAAAAGTTTTGTCTCTTGGTGACATCATGCACCCGTTCACTATCTGTCTGCTCTGTCACCTTCAGCTGGACCATGACCTGAAGCACGCACACGAGCTGAGACAAGCTGCTTTCAAACTTTACGCCTCGCTAGGCTCCAATGACGAGGACATCCGCAAAAAGGTCACCTTTCCTTGGGTGCATTTTTTGTTTGCATTTGTAATTGTGCACATAAATATTTATATTCTGATCCATCTTCTTCTTGTTTCTGACCTCAGATCACAGAGACGGAAAACATGATGGACCGGATAGTCAGCGGTCTGTCAGAATCCAGCATTAAAGTCCGTTTGGCGGCCGTCAGGTACGGCGAGAAGCGAGTCTCTGTCACCCACCATGACATCTGCCTCTGCTGATATTGCCCTCTTATCCCTGTAATCCCTTTATAAAGAATTTAACGGACATTTGTGACACGAAAGTTCTAAAAAAATTTAATGAGCTTTGAATTTATATTTAACTTGTATTTAACTGTTTCTTCCCTTCAAAGTCTAAATTACATCAAAAGACGTTAGAAAACAGACAATATTGCTGTTTAATTTGCTTATTTTTTAAAGATTGGTCAAAATAATGTCTCTGTGTCTCTTCACCTAGTTTCCCTTTTGATTCATCTTTTCTTCTTACTCTTTTTGCCTCTTAAGGACCAAAATAGGTTTAAGATTTTTATAAAAAAAAAATAAGACGCAACGCTCTCAACTCATGATTAGACTCGGACAGAAAGACAAGGACAGCTTTTCAGTTTCAGTTGTAGCTGTTGCAGAACGCCCACAGACGTTTCAGTGAAATTGCCAGAATACACGCTGAAGAAGGCAAAAATGTCCACGTAGCAATATTAAAAAGTCCAATTCAAGTGCTGTCCTCGTCTTTCTTTTTAATTTTTTCTTACAAAGTGTTGTGCAACTGTGACTAAACTCTCCCCTGTTTGTCCGTTCATATTTGGCAGGTGTCTCCACAGTCTTTCGAGGTCGGTGCAGCAGTTGAGGACCAGCTTCCATGACCACGCCGTATGGAAACCCCTCATGAAGGTCAGTGAAGCGGTGACGGAGTTTAATGAGTGCATACGGCAAAACAAATCTCTACATGTTTGAATACTCACACACTGACTGAGATGTTGTGTTGTAGCTGTTGCAGAACGCCCCAGATGAAGTCCTGGTCATGGCCTCCTCTACACTATGCAATCTACTGCTGGAGTTCTCGCCCAGCAAAGAGGTACACACACACACACTCACACACACTCACATGTATAAAGAGAACAGATTGTATGACTTTAATATTGAGGCCATTTGTTTGTGTCGATCTGCAGCCCATCCTGGAGTCAGGGGTGATTGAGTTACTATGCAGTCTGACCCAGAGTGACAGTCCTGCACTGAGGGTCAACGGGATCTGGGCCCTGATGGTAAGAACATTTTACATTTGTACATTTCTTATTAACATCAAAGTCCAGGAAAGTGTGTTGAATTTGTGTTTTCCTTGACTGTTAATTTTTCACACTCATTTTAAAACTGTATATGTGAGGCTGCAGCGAGTTAAAGTAAAATCAAGCAGATCCTTGTCACATTTTCACACAGTGACTCATGCTGTCGGATTATTTCAGTACAAACTCTGTTTATGTGTTAAGAACATGGCGTTCCAGGCAGACCAGAAGGTGAAGGTGGAGATAGTTCGGTGTTTGGGTACAGAACAGTTGTTCCGCCTGCTATCAGACCCTGACACCAATGTGCTGATGAAGACCCTCGGTTTGCTGCGCAATCTGCTGTCAACACGCCCAGTGAGACTCTCACACACACACACACACACACACACACACACACACACACACACACTCACACACACAAGCATGATTAGAGACTTAAAGAAATACTTCACCCCCCAAGTGATCATCTGTACATAAATGTTTTTCTGGCGATCCCTCATGGTGAATGAAGAATCCAAAAATGGAGAAAATTCTAGATGAATTGAGGTCATAGGGGTCCACCAAACTCACGCCAGGGTTATTATAGGTAAAACTAAATGCCTCAGATACAGTGTATACCACACAGGATGTAGTCAGGCTCAGTCCCTGTAGTTTAGTCTATATCCTCCAAACACCTGCAGGAACAAAGTGGCTCCAGTGTATGTATGTCGGCTCTTAGACTGCAGGCTGCATCTTGGACTGTTGTGTTGAGCGCTGCGGTCAGTGATGTCACAGAAGAGTTGTAGTATTCCACCTCCAACCTTGAATGCTTCACACTTTCTTACCCACTCTTTAGATATTCGTACAAATGCATGTGTGTACTGAACTGGCATAAATCCTTGCATACTGATTCTCTCCCGCTCCCTCTCCACCGTCAGCACATTGACCAGATCATGAGTTCTCATGGGAAGCAGATCATGCAGGCAGTGACTCTCATCCTGGAAGCAGAGCACAGTATAGAGGTCAAGGAACAGGTGAGCTCTCCCTCTGCTTCATGTGGTTTCCACACAGAATTCATACTACAGCTGCACAGAAACAGCCGCATTGCAGAGTGGTTTTAACATTCTGCAGGTATGATGACAGGCTGAGGGGTCGGTCTTTATTCATGTCCAGTGTGCAGAGGTGGAAGCACATGAGACAGAATCAGCTGGCAGTTTTTTCTTCTGAATCACAAAGTACAAAATGTTCACATAACAGCACTGACGTAACATTTCTCCTTATCTGTCAGACGCTGTGCATCCTCGCCAACATCGCTGACGGCAACACAGCCAAGGAACTCATCATGACCAATGACGACATGCTCCAGAAAATCAAATACTACATGGTACTTTATATAAACCATCTAGTGCGATCAGATCAAGTGTGTGGTGTTGCTGCAGCGTGCATACTCACTCTCTGCTTCCTCTTTACTCCTGACGTGTTGTCAGCACACGTAATGAGAAGCAGATCACGCAGTTATGTTGAACCAGCTGAAGACTGTGGACTGTTTAATAGTTAGAGTTGTTATCACAGACATGTTGACCTGTGCTTTTGTTGTTTTCCTCACTTCTGCTGTTCCTGCAGGGGCATTCGAATGTGAAACTGCAGCTCGCTGCCACCTTCTGCATCTCAAACCTAATCTGGAATGAAGAGGACGGTAAGGAACACACTACACCTCACACATGAAGAGAGCCTAAAGAAAGGTGCCGGATTCAGAGAGAGGAGGAGGAGGGATGTGAGGAAATGTTGTAGGTCTGAAGGCGTTTTCACATCACAGTGGGAAACATGAAGGTCTTGTGCTGCGAGTTCTGTGTTACTTGGTGCAGGATTTATCACTCAGGGACTTCGTGTGGCTCTGTCATACACACAGGGCTCCTACGCAAGTATGGAAAGTATGGAAATAAATTTGATCAATTTCCAGGTATTAAAAAGTATGGAAAATGAAAAATAAAGTCTGGAAAAATATTTATGTTTCCAGACTATTAGCACAGTTCTAAAATACTGTTTTCTAAAATAGAAAATAAATTATTTTTGGAAATACCTAAATCAATCCGGATCGTGTACCTGCACCTTCGACAAGAAGACGAGTTTCATGTGGTTCACAATGGGTAGATGCAAGTTTTTGGATGGATGGCTTGATTGAATTCACACACAGAGCTAGATGCAAGCTTTGTGTGAAATTGCCAACATGGGGGAGAAGGTGATTCTGAGCCACATGAAAGGAAAAAACACAGACGTCTCGTTACTGCATCGCTTGCACCCAGAGTCCCAACCTTTTTGCCTCAGCCCAGACATTGAACTTACCTGAGTTTTTATTTGCATGCCATTATGGTACTTGGCTAGCCTGGAAATCCAGACCCAAATCTACAAAGATTTAGGGTCTGGCCATGAGTAATGAAAATGGCCCAACTCGAGGGGTTGCACCAAGCATGTGTAGTGTAATGTACTGATTTACTGAAGTGTTTATACTGTACCTTTAAGTTGACTTTTAAAAGATACGTGTTGAAGCAATGTACTCTGTGCAACTGACAAATCACACACTGGGTTATTATTTCATGTATTCTTATGACACACATACACACACATTGAGCACTTAAGCATTGTGGTAGAGAAGTACCTAAGATTCACTGTGCATCATTTCTAAAAATAGCATGAGGATGGGCTTAGAAACATTGGTGGAAAGTTAGGGGAAATTCCAGCTTGTCCTGATATGACTCTATAGGAGGTGGGTTTAGACTGCTCAGAAAAGCATTATACGGTGAAATTGGCTCCAAGGGAGAAAAGGAGAGCGGGGATACTATTATGAACGAGTGCAAGGATTAAAGCAGCCATCAGGGGGAGAGCGGAGAAATGTGACACCGTAATGTTTCAGTTCCAAGGGGGAAGGATTAAAGAAAAAGTGGAAATTCAGCAGAAATGTGATACTGTTACGATCAGAGCCAAGTGGGAAGGATTAAGAAAAAGACGACTCAGCAGAAAATCTTCACAATAAAAGCGAGTGCGCAGACAAAGACATTCCAGTCCTGCTCCGGAGCTTGACTCATTGAGTTGTGATGTGTTTGCTGCCTGCGAGCACATTAAACTCAGTTGCATCTGATTCTACGTGTCTCCAGTGATTTTTTTTAACTCGGTATTTTGAGTTTTTGATATCTAATAGAAAACAACGAAAATCCGTTCGAGAAGAAAGGAACGAAGTCACGAGCTTTCTGGCCCAGCTCCAGACCCTTAAATTTATGTTTCGACACGTGCATTTGAAAATATCACTGCATGCAATTGGATAACACTACGACCAATCAGAACAATACACGGGGTGACGTATCCAGAGCTTAGCTACCAGCGCAGCTAACTGGTAGATTAGACTCTTGCCGTATCCGGTCGGCAAAACAGCAAAAACGTCCTTCTTGCAAAGGAAAGACTCGAGCGCCATCTTCTGTTCCTCTTTTAGAGAAAAAGCCAAGTCTAACTCGTTCATTGTAGCGGCCAAAGCCGTTTCAAACAACTGGTGTTCTTCCGTAGCCATCTTGCAATGTTTACTGACTGATTCTGGACTTTGTTGTCGCAGCGCTGTCGTCATCTGTTTAGCTCGCCTCTGGCCTGCCTATATCAGATACACCGATGTGATTGGTGCAGCTCGGCTTCAACGGCATGGGTAATGAGCATCATTACTGATTGCTAGAGTGACTCGCTGAGCAAATTCAAATTGTGCTCTCTCGAGAACTCTGGATTTCCAGGGTAGTACTTGGCTACAATCGCCTATTAAGAATAATTAAATATGATGTGAAATATGATACACAGATATATTTACTCAGATGTCACATATTCTCTGGAAAAAAAAAAACAACAAAAAAAAAAACAGCCAAGAAGTCTGGAAATAACGGTATGGAAAAGTATGGAATTTTGAAATTCCAAATGTGTAGGAACCCTGTACACAGAAAAAATGATGAAGACACAACACATGCCGGTGGCTTGTGCGTGTCCATGTGACGTAAAGTTTGTCTGCGCTTTCAGCTACAGTGCTAATGATGCTAGCAGTAGATCACTGTTTCAGAGACTCCAACTAGAGTCTAGTCAGTCTAGTCAGTAGCTCCATCCATACACTGATATGAATATCTTTTCTGTCTTTCTTTTCTGTCCATCTTTCAGTTTAAGCTGTGGTCAGCAGGGACTGTACTCACTAAGGTTCAGCACAGCTCAGGTCAAAGTTAGACACATTTCAAGATGCAAAGTGAACTCAAAACACTCACTTTAAAGAAATAAAGCCATTTAAACTTGAACCCAAAATGGAAGTGTCAGCTATTAATAGATGTGAATGAATTAATCTCTGCTGTATCGTGTGTTCTCAGGTTCTCAGGAGCGTCAGGACAAGCTGAGGGAGATGGGCTTTGTAGACATCCTGCACAAACTCACCCAGGCCTCTGACCCCAACCTCTGTGACAGGTGGGCCTGAATAAGAACATCCTAAACCTCACAGCACTCTCATCAGACACTTGTTGAATAGCTGAACTTATTCGGTCTCTCTGTCTGTCAGGGCGAAGACGGCGATGCAGCAGTACCTAGCGTGACCACAGAGGGGAGAGATCCCCTCACCGCCAGCCTAACTAACAATCGTCGGGAGGACACCTGCTGTTGGTTCTTTTGTTTTCTTGTTTTCTTTAACCTCGAGGCTTGTTTCGTTGCACAAAGACACCTTTTTGGACCTGTGGCTGGCCTCCCTTCACCTCCCGCCCACCGCCCGAAACCACCCTCAACAGTTAAGCTCACTCCAGACCTTGGAGACTCTGAGGCCATGGTTGTTGGGAAATCAACGGTTAGGAGGGGTTCTCTTGTTTTATTTTCTTTTTTCAACAATGAAGTGATTTTTTTTTCCTTTTGGGACTTTTGTGATTTGAGATTTGCAATCTTTTTTTGTTTTTTTGTTGGAGTGCAGCAGCCTGACACCAGCGCCACTGTGGTGCTTCTGGACTCCCGACAGTGGAGAATCGGGTCTCAGTAAACCAGACTATGAGGTTTGACGTGAGCACGGCTGGTGGACAGCAAAGCTTCCAAGTTTTTTTGTTTTTTTTAATTATTGCTATTAATAATAATGTTTCCTTAAGGCGTCGCAGAGCAAGGACACATTTAGAAAAACACAGACTGCCTATTTTGAAATTTTGGGTGTTTTCTTTTTTTGTGGATACATACCTCGTAAATATATAAATATATATAAATATAAACATAAATATATATTTTTGGATTTTTATTTTCCCCTGACCCTCTGTTTGTGTTCAGTCACTCTGAGTCATGATGTTTGGCACACGAGGGCGAATCCACTGCAGTCTGATTCCAGTATGTTTCTGACGTTGATCATGGTCTCTGGAGGAGAACAAGGACAAGAAATGTAACACCCCGAATTTTTATTTTTCTCACACCTTTGTGGTTCTGCGTGCACTGTCGCCTGTCACTTCGGTCCCACCTTATAATCCCAATGGGAAATGTAGTTCCAGAGTGCTCACTCTGTCTCCGACCTGCCCGGTTACTCATTAACAGGCATGATTAGACACGACACCAGAGATCAGAGGATGAATGTATCCTCACATCTCTGTTAAATATGAAAGTCTGTCCCTCCCCTCCCTGACTGGGTGTTTGTCCAAACGGATAAATGAAAGCTCCTGGGTTTGTTTCAAGAAGCGAGCGATTAGATGTAAGGAATAAAGGAGCAATGATTTGAGACCGGCCCCGGAGGGTGAAGCACCAAGTGCGTCCACAGCTGCAGAGTCGAGCGCTACATCGTGTTTCTTCCCTCAATCATATAATTTCTTCTTCCATCAGGATATTTCTAGAGTGTTGATCCCTGACATTTCAAACCTTAATGAAACTGATAGAATGAATGTTACCATTGAAAATATATGCAGACCTGAAGAAGGATTACCTCTGTGTTGCGTCTTATTTCTCCTCAGAAGGTTCAGTCTCACCTTAAACAAACAGTCTGGGTTAAAGGGATAGTGCACCCAAAAATGAAAATTCAGCCATTATCTACTCAGGAGTTGTGTTGCTACCTCCTCTCCCCTTGGATCTCCGCAAGTGTTGTGAGGACTCTAAAACGTCACCTGAGCCTCCCTCAACATATGGGTGAGTAGATAATGGCTGAATTTTCATATTTGGGTGCACTATCCCTTTAAAGCAGAGGGCTGTGGGGCTGCCTCCAGGGATGCACCAAGGCTTTAGGTATCAGCAGATGGTGTGCACCAATCCAAGGCCAGTGTTTAAATATAGCAGCCAGCGGGTTTAAGCCATCATGGAGCTGCAAAAGATCAAGACCTTTGACAGTTTACGATACCTGTATGACAGATAGCTAAAATGTTTCATGACAATCAGGTATATCCTCCTGAGACCTGGAATTTTGTTTGGTTAAAAAAACGAGACATTCTCAATGATAATAAATTCCCAACGTCTTTAAACGAGCACTTACATTAACAGTGCCTGAGCTTGTCACTGTTTCTAAAATTGGTTAAGTGTGTTTGGCATATCGAACTACAAACATTAATTATTAAATTTGATCAGGTTTTGGACCTTGTCCACTTTTGTGTACTGTGCTCTTCCTACCACTAGATGGCACAAAAAAGTGTCCACGAACGAGGACAACAGGTCTAAATTAAGCAGAATAAAGTATAAGGTCCAGTAAACCCAAAATGTGATGTCCTCAAAGGAGGACGCAGGGTCTCAGAAGGATATGCTCATTCATTTATGTCCAAATCTCTGCCGGGTCATGCTTTTCTTTAGTACACTGTCGCTCTCTATGGGTCAGTTGCAGAAACATTTTGGGGATATGCTTTAACAGCTTAAATAAAAATATCCACCAGGTTTGGTGACGTTTGGACAAACTGTCATCGATTTATGACTAAATGCTACGTAAGGCCAGTGCACTTGTTTGGAACTGATGGCGCCCCCTGTTAACTGATCTCAAAACCCACATGGTTATGAAACATATCCTGTAGTTTTGTAATGATTAGACAATATCCGATATGTGTTCTACCACACTATATACCAGGGGTCGATTTGAATGAACCCTTCAGGGTATGTTTCAGATACTTACGTGGACATATCCTGCAACTACAGTTCAAGTGTAAACCTTTAAATGAACAAATTCAACTGCATAAAAGCAGAACAAAATGCGATCTGTTGGCGCGCTCCTGACACATGATGTACACATGTGTAATGAGATTAATACAATGAACTGATAATGGATTGGTCCCACAGTGTCTGGTACCTGATCCAGCTGTGTGTGATGCTAATATCAGATCCACATCGGTGCACCCCTGGTTGCTTCATGTGTTTAGTGCTGCAGTCACATGTAGCACAGAATACATTTCTCTCTGCGGTGTAAAGGAAGCACAAATACAGTTAATACAAGAACAGTGAACTTGTGTTTCCCCACTGAGTCTGAGTCACAGAGGTAATTATCAGTTTCTTTGAAAAGTAAATTCGTAGTGATGTCTGAAGAACCCAGAGGCTTTTTTTTTAACAACACTTCCTGCTGTGCTGAGGATAGTTTCAACTAACACAACACTTCTCTAACAAACTGGATAAAAATACTGTGTCTGCTGCAGGACGGAAAAAGATTTCTGACCTTTTTCTGACTCTGTTTCCTTCCAGACAGAGACAGTATCTAAAAATAATGTCTTTTATGCACCTATGCAACATGAACAAACATTTTAAAATGTTATCAGTTACATTTGTTTCTATTGCCTCTTTCTATGTGTTTCATTTTAAAATAAAAAATGCATTTTTCTTGCATTTTACAAAAAGAGTGAGGATCACCTGGATCACAAACAGCCGACGCAACTTGTGAAACAGGAAAACATATTAGTCTTGCAGACAGAATGTAATTTCATCCAGATGGTTAGACTTATTAAAGAGTTTGGATTTTTTGAGGTGGGGCTGCATTGGGTGCTTATCCACAGTCAGCGTAATACCTAAAGTAGATGTCAGTCGGCACACCTTCAGTTTGGAGAAGCAGGCTGGAATACTGACATGGAGGTTAAGCAATGTGCTGCTGTGGAGGGGTCAGCAACAAAATGTTTTTTAGCCACCTAAAAATATCAATATCAGTTTAAGTGTATGCTATATTGAGAGTTATTTCACTGCGTTACCTTTCTGTCAGACAGCTTGTTCTAACAGGGAAGCTGTTAACGGCTTCAGTTTTTCATCTTTGCTCTCGTCAAAGCCAGACTCCACTGAGAAAAACAGTAATTTTAGCAAACTGAACACAGGAGCTGCTGGTCTACTGCTGCCTCGATTAGTTTGTTAGTTTATGTTAATACATGACTTTGTTGACTCTGAACTAACCCTTTAAATGCAAAAGTCACACAATGAGACAAACAAACTAACTGATGGAGGCAGCAGTAGACCAGCAGCTCCTGTGTTCAGTGAGGTAGAATTACTGTTTTTCTCAGTGGAGTCTGGCTTTGAAGAGAGCGATGTTACGGCTTCATTTTCCAGTGGGAAATCACTGTTTGACATCAAGGTAAAGCAGTGAAAATATTCTAAATATAGCGCACACAATAACACTGAAATTGATCTTTTTAGGCGGCTAAAGGTTTTTGTTGCTGATCCCTCCACAGCAGCACATTTCTAACTTCCATGTCAGACTCCATCCGTCCACTGACATCTACTGTATGTAATATTCTTTCTATAGATAAGTGTCCCATACAACAGCACTCCAAAAAAATCTGAACTATTCCTTTAACAACTCTGAAACTATCTCCAGATCAGCAGTTGGTGTTGTTAAGTGTCCTTCTAGGTTTCCCAGTCATCCTCAGTATTTATTTTTCAGACAGGACGCTCACCTCTGTGACTCAAACTGGGGCTAATGGTTCCCAGAGTAGCACAGGAGTCCAACATCTTACAAAACAACACTTCTTTATTGTTGTACAGTATGTAATCCTGGTAAAGTTCTTTTTTTTAATGTAACAGCAGTCTTTAATAAAACATCTGAAACCCATCAGCCTCCAGTCGGGCGGGGCAGTTTGTCGTCTCCCGTCAGCCCTCCGCCCTCGACAGCTCCAAAGCAGGCACATTCCTCATGCAAAAAAAGCTGTGACATGCATTTAAAACCCTTTTGTGTACCCAAGACCTCCCACCCCCCCCACCCCAGAGTAACCCGCAGGATCTGAACTCCATGGACATCAGTGGGAGTTCTGCTCAGTGAATCTGTGTGTGTAAAGAGTCCAGGTCGTCCCTCCCCTGCTCCTGTTACAGAAAATAGAAACCAGAAATCTGACTGTCTATATTACAAGTAACGCGGCGCACAAAGCACCTCACCAAAGCAAAAAGAAGTCCTGAGACCTCCGTAGCAATGCAGCCTGGGTATTGGAGTTTTAGGGTTAGGCTGTTGTCTCGTCCCAGCATAAAGCTCAGTGGTTGGCGGGGTTAGGGGGGGTGAAGATGATGATGATGATGAATGTGTCAATGCATGTGTGCTACATAAGAATCAGGAAGGTGACACTCAGTCTGGAGTGTTAATGTGCAGTTAGATGGCAAACACTCGTCACAACCTTCCCACTGAAAATAAGTTTCCCTCGATGCTTTGCTCCACAAAATAAATAAATTCACAGCCTAAATAAATAAATAAATAAATAACATTTTAGATAAAGGTGCATGTGTTCTCTGAAGGTGACTCTGATGGCTTTCTGTGTAAATTTTGATCCAAATGCTGCCTGTGATTAACAGGTGGAGGATTTTAGGGAACTTTTCATGAAGAAGGCACGAATGGCTGGATGGCTAAAGCTCAGGAGTGATGTGGGAGTTTGCTGTACAATCTGATTGGCTGTTTGTAAACAGTCATGATGGTGATGGGTGCTGTTTATGATGTTTGTGCTTCCGCCATGTTTTCCATCAGTCTTACTTTTTGTCTTTGGCACACGTCACAACCGCTTAAAGTTCACACCAGTGACTGTGAATAAAGATGGACGACGGGTCTCCACTTCGTCCCACTGTACAAAAGTGAAGCCAAAATATTTGGTGCATCGAATACTATAGCAGTTGCTTTCTAGCAATTTTTGCAGTTTCGTGTTACTGCTGTCCGACCAAAAATGAGAAGCGTAATTGATTGCAGGCACTCGACTGGCACACAAACCTGTCAATCATGACATCAAACCCCCTTTATATAGCCTCAAATTATTAAAAAGAAAAAAAAAAGATATAACTAGTTAAAACCAAAACTTATCAGAGAGGTGAACACTTGAACAAACATCAGTGTGATGAGAACTAACTAAAATGTCAGAAACCATCTTCGGAAAAAAATTATTTGATGTGTACTTTGAGTTTTTAGTTTGGCCCATGTCCGATCTGCTAACATGGACAGGGTGGGGTTTATAAGCTATACTGCAGCCAGCCACCAGGGGGCGGACAATATGTTTTGGCTTCACTTTTGGGGAGCTGTAATGTCGTCCATCTTTATTATACGATCTACGGTTCGCACTTTAATAGAAGTTGCTCCTCAACATGCTCATCTGCTGACCCGACTGTGTACAAACCCACTTGCTAAAATATTGGGATGCTGTGTGAAATAAAAACAGAATGCAAAGATCTGCAAATCCCTGTCAAAATGAGAATTCAACACATCCAATCTGTTTTCATTAAACATATTTTGCAGCTGTTCACATAACGTGTAAAATGACCGTCTGCATATCAGTTACTCACTGCGTGTTACGTTGAATTAGTGAAGATAACTTTATCTTGAATGCCTACATGGTGAACGATGAATCCAAACAAAGCGAACTTTCTTCATGAATTGAGGTAAATGGGGGCCGAGTTCAACATCAGCAAAACTACATCAAAACATCGGTTTACAAGCTCTCACACAACTCGTTTCATTTATGTGGTCAGTACTTTCCAAACACATACATTTTGATAAAAAAACGTAAAACTTGAATTAATAGCCCGGGCTATTATTTGCTTAAATCACTGAACTCAACAGGCCTGTATTTGAGACAGGCCTTTAATTCCTCTCACACAAAACTGGTGCTCAGCAAAGATCAGGAAATACAATCAAACTGTTTATTGAAACCAGTATGAATATTACTTGTATGAAATTAGGCTTCAGATAAAAACTCCGACAGACAGAGCATCAGAGAGTGAGTTACGTCACCACTTTATCCTGTTAAACGACCCTCACAACTTGGATTTATCTTTTGATCTGAGGACCCTTATGGACCATAGAAATATGAATAACTCACAGGGTCATCAAGGAATGGACACATAATTTGAGGTAGCCAACAACCCGTTTTTATACATCTTTTTATAATAAAAAAAAAAAGAACTGCGTGGGAACCAGACCAGGCCTCTAATCGAGACAGGCCTTTATCTGTCAAAATGTGTAGCCACACCAGGCTGGATGGCCGAGTAGCCTGCCTGGGCATGCGTTTGAACTCCGCTCTAGCGCAGCTCATATGCACACGTGTGCACTATGTGTAGCTGGAAGTTTTTTAAAGTAAAATGTTTTAGTGAAAATGCATGTGACTGCATAAATGGGACTGGGATTATACTGCAAGTGTTGTGAGAGTTTGTAAAAAGATGTTTTGATGTAGTTTTGCTTTTGTTAAATGCGGCCTTTGTTCACTTAATTTCATGGCGAGTATTGGATTGGATTCTACGTTCACTTTGCCGCACAGGAAGGACAAACTTTTCTTCACAGATTTAACCTAACGCACGGTAACTTATTTACAAATGGTCATTTTGCAAGTGCAGTATTCTTTTAACTCTATAAAACTACACTAATAAAGAAATCCTAACATTTCAATCCCTAAAAATTATGTGCGTAAAGTGGAATGACACCAGGAAAAAGTAGTGAAAACACTAAATACAATTTATATAATACTTTTGTTTGCAATGTACGCTTCAAGACGCTTCCTGTAAGAAGAAACTAATCTCTCACAGTGTTCACATGGGATTTTCTTCCACAGTCTGTCAGTCTTCAAAATTTTTGGGGGCCTGCTTGAGAAATTTCACTTTCAAAACTTCAACAATTGGTGTCCTCGGTTCCAAAGAAAAGGTGAAAAGGTTTTGGAAAGTGCTGCAGGTATAAAATTCAGAATAAGTTTATCAGTTTGAACATTAAATATCTTTGTACTGTATCCAATTAAATATATGTTGCATTCTGTTTTTATTCACACAGCGTCCTGACTGTTTAAAATCGGGGTTCTTCCCTCAAACTTATTTTATGGGGGAAAAAAGTTTCTGTCAGAAGTTAAAACCAATTTAAACATCTCTGTTTTTTTGGTTTTTTTTGTGAACATGAGTAACGGCCGTGTGTATGACTCTGAAGATGATGTCAGCTTCCCTCCACCAGCCCAGAGGATGATACTTTAAAAAATAATCCCACTGATGAAACGAACTGGCTCTCCAGGAGAGGTGACCTGATCTGTCTGAGACTGAACGAAGAGTTTACATTCCCAGTCCCAGTGCTGTGGCTCCGACTATCTGGCTTTGTTAAAGACGTGTCCCGCTGAGATATGTGTGTTTGTACCTGCCCTTTGAAGAGGAGGAGACATCCATACTGGGTTTAAAAAGCAACATTAAGTCAGCTGGAAAAATTCGGCTCCAGAGTTCAGTGGAACTGGTTAAAAAGCTCTGGTCCTACGTGTCCCAGTAGCTGCGGGGGTCGACTGATGCTACTGACGTGTTGATACTGTAAGACAAGTTGTGCTGTTGTTGTTGATCAGTGTAGAAAAGTACTCCCTCACACTGATTTGCTCACAGCTGGCGTTGCGTGTCGGCCTCCCAGGTGTGTTTCCTGTCTGTCCTTTGAGCATCACTTCCTGTGTGAAATGGACCAGGTGTCTGTTTCCCCGTCGGTCTTCACTCCATCATGCAGCCGTCACTTTCCCTGATCTGATCTCCATTGTTCCCCTTTTTTCATCTCTTTGATTCTCTGCTGCTCTTTTATCATCTCTCACTCAGTTCCAACTCGTTCATAACGCTGGCTCCTCTTCGTCGATGAAGCTGATGTGCTCTGTGGAGGACTTGCTCTCCTCCGCCTGTCGTCCCCACTCCTGCATCTCCAGCTCCTGTGGCTGAGTGACGGGTCTGGCCTCCCCGCGGCGCAGCTGCGAGTTACACCAAGGTGGCGTCTGGCTGTCTCCCGGCCTTCCCTGTGCACTGACAAAGTCCAGAGACAAGGGCAGGGAGACGGTGGAGGGGTGGAGGGAGACGGGGGGAGAGACGAGAGGGACGGAGGGGGAAGGCCTCAGCCGATGGTCTCCTGGCGAAGATGTGAGCGATGGGGGAGCTGAGCAGTGGGAGGACGGGGGAGGAGGGGTGTCCTGGGAGGGTGGCGGGGGGAGCAGGCCTCTGCTGGCACAGCTGCCAGGTCGGGATGGGTGGGGGCCTTGGCAGGGGGACAGAGATGGCGAGGAGCAGAGAGACATGGAGAAGGACAGAGAGGGTGACGGGGTGTGAGAGGCCAGGGGAGGCTGGTCCTGCAGCGAGGGCAAAAATATCCCGTTACTGGAGGAAGCGTTGAGGCTTCGGAGGCCCTCGGGATGCGCCTCCTCTGGGGAGGAGGGGTTGGAGTGGGTGGGGCCCGTTACGTTGCACCCTGGGGGTTTGGATGGGACCTGGGGCAAAGCTGAAGATGATGAGTTAGGCCTTTTCGGTGAATGAGGAGTCGGGAGAAGGCAACCTGGCAGGTCCACACCCTCAATGTCTCCACTGTCCAACAGGGAGTGAGTTTCAGGTCTCTGGAGGGAGCAAGGTGTGGCGGGGGGCTGCAGCACCAGGCAGGTGCTTGTGGACAGCTGGCTGGCGCTGCTTGGAGGCGGGGTTAGATTTGGCATCATGGTCATCAGGATTGGCTGTGGTGCTGTTTGGAGGAGGGGCTTGAGCAGGCGTGTCATTTCCTGCAACTCCTGACTGAGCTTGGAGACTTGTTTAGAGAGACTGTTCATCTGTTTGGTGAAGAGAGGGACAGGGTAAACACACACACACACACACACACACACACACACAAAGGTCAGTCCATGCAAATGTTGTATCAAGTTTCTTGTTGCTCAGGAGGATGATGGGACGGCGGGGTTCTTTCTATCTGACAAAGTTAATCCGTATTTGTGTAAAAGATAATCTGATACAGACGCTGCATACGTAATGTTCACACACACATCAACATTTATCTGACTGCAGAACACACGCTGCGTGCACAGATGGAATATTATGCTGGAAACACTCAGAGAGTTTATACCTCTGCTAAAGCAGCATAATCCCTCTAAACCTGTTATTTTAATAATAGAATTTAAATTAATTTGCATCTGGAACAAAACCTACACAGTGATGACAGACTGTCCTGCTGATTGGCTGATGGGGCTCCTGATTATGAATGCTTAAATCCCTCGATGGATTATTGGGGCTTTGCACAAGGATGCAAACGTTAAAGCAAATTTTTAGTGAGTCGACTTTTCACCACCAAGTTATTGACGTTTAAATTAATCATGTTGTTGAAGTCCCATGAACAAATGGAAAGCCATCACATTTTGCCAATAGTGGTAGTGGTGATATATTTTTTACTTAATTAAAAGTAATGGTACAACGACATTCTAAACCCCACTTCCTGCACGTACAGGTTTTGTAGTATTAGGGACATAGGGACGTAGGGACGCTGTTAGCTGTTAGCCGATAGCGGTGTCTGTAATAACTCACTAAACTCACTAAATGGCCCGTGAAAAAAAATATTTTTTCCAGCGGATGTCTTAGTTACAACATGATTGAGCTAACTGGGGTAGTTTCATGTCGTTTCCAACAACGGGAGGCTTTTAACAGATGACGTCCTGATGTTAGCTTTGCTGCTAGTGTTAGCTGTCCCTGTCAGCTGCAGCCACTGATGCTTTCTAGACATTGTGATTTCCCAAAACTGAATAAATACCACACATAGCAACACAAAACTGCTTTGCTAGCTCAATCATGTTGTAACTAAGATATCCGCTGGAAAAAATATGTTTTTCACGGACCGGTTATTGAGTTTGTTTATATGGCGGTGGAAGCTATGAACGAGCTAACCCTCGTCTGCTGAGTTTTAAAAATGCCGGCTATTTTGTTGCCTTCTGTTGACGTCACATTCTGCCTTGAGTATATCCAATCAGCACCAAGTAAACCCCAAGCCCCAGCCAGGAGTTTCTCAGGGCGTTCTGAGTACCTACTCCGAGGCAGGGACTTGTTTAGCCCCTGTAAAAGTTCTGGAACTCTGTCCTTCGGGGGTGGTTTCTGCGGTGGAGACACGCACCAGCGGCCCCGGCCCCGTAAATTTACCCCGAAGTTCCTGCGGTGGAAACGGGCCTTTAGAAGCGTTTAACCGATTTTGACATTGTCAGACTTTGTTTTTGATCAGTCCGTCTTCCTTTTTTGGGTTCCTTTGCAGTGCATGCAGTTGTTGCCAATAATGGAATAGCAACTTTTTCTGCAGGACTCTTTGCCATTGAACCAGACTTTCACCAAAGGGATGTACATCTGCATTTGTAGAACAGCCAATAGGAACACCCTCTCTCTGAAATGACCTGTGATTGGCTAAAGTCTCCTGTCACAGGCTATAATTTCTAAGCCTGAAAACAGAACCATGAGGAGGTGCAGAACTTTCTCTCAGACCATTTGAATTACAATACGATCAAAGTTTATTATGGGATTTTTGCCCACTGACACCAAATGAAACTGCCTACCCCAGCTTTAAAGTATTAAAAGTAAAAGTACTCATTATACAGTGTTATTATAACTATTAAAGTGTCCCAGTGTGTCATGACAGGGTGCCAACATGCACAACACCAGGACTTATTAACAGTCCTTAATTCCATTATTTACACTGGTCCTTTAATGTAAAAACGTCTGCAGTGAAAGCTGTTAAATAATTTATGAAATATTGTGCTGACTAACAGACGAACGAACAAAACACCCAGAGCCCTCAGGCAGATGTAGACAGGCATCATCATCATGTACAAACATCAGCACTCACCTCCTCAGTCAGTTTAGACACACTCTGCTTGATCTCAGAGTGCTCACGGATCCCTACACACACAACACACAACACAAACATGAGCATTAATCCTCCAGAAAAAAACAATTCCTCGGACAGAGAGGTAAAATGCTGTGTGTGTGTGTGTGTTACCTGGGTACGGGGACGGTGGTGCTGCAGGTGACATGCTGGGACTGAACTCAAACTTCTGTGATGACGTGCAGTTGCTCTCAGTTTCAATGCCGTCCACGAATCTATGCAGGAAAAAGGGATTAAAAGTAAGAGATGGTGAACAGGAGAGGAATGTAAAGCAGCTGTAGGAGCACTAATTACAGTGTGTGTGTGTGTGTGTGTGTGTGTGTGTGTTACCTGGGGCTGAGTTCAGGCGGCGCGCTGCTGAAGCTGACCACCGGTATCTGCAGGGTGGTGGGGCGGGAATGCTCGGAGGGAGCACGGAACGGCCTGGGTGGCAGCAGAGGAGAGCGCAGGGGAGAGCTGAGCCCCCTGCTGAGACGCAGCGGGGAGCGAGGAGCACGGGACACTGTGTTCTGCTCCTCGTCGCCCTCTTCGTCCTCACGGATCGATGGCAGCTTCTTCACCAGGCCACCGTTACTCTCCCAGTCCACCTGAGGGAATAGGAGACAGTGAAAGTTTGAACCCAGTCACAGTGAAACAACATGAGCCGTCTCACCTGCTGTCAGTGACACAGAGGTTGTGTTTGTTTAGAGCTCAGCTGCATGTGTTGGTAAATAGAGCGCAGTGACACAGTTGTACCAGTGGGTGGCAGAATAACACCAGTTTCTACCAGTGAACACTGAATGTTTGATGTGTTGTACTCACACAGGTTCAGTTCAACACACTGCCTCTACTAACAGAGATCAATTAAAGGAATAATTCAGATCTTTTAAAGTGGGACTGTACGAGGTAATCATCCATAGTCAGTGTGTTAGCTACAGTCGTAGAGTTTGGAGAAGCAGAAAGGAGAAAGACATGGAAGCTACACAATGTGCTGCTTTAAAGAGGTCAGCAACAGAACATATTTCAGCCACTTAAAAACAAATCTAAATCAGTTTAAAGGTCCAGTGTGTCAGATTTAGTGGCATCTAGTGGTGAGGATTGCACATTGCAACCAGGTGAAACTTCTCTAGGTTCGAATTCCTTCAGTGTTCATTGTTCAGGAGCTTAATTATCCAGAGGTCTCTTCTTCTCCCAAACAAACATACCCGGTGATTCAAACTGATAAAACACTGAATAAAGACGTTTCATGTTACAAATCAGTGTTTTTGTGGCACTGTTCACTATGTTGCAGACGGCCTGCTCGCCCAGCGCCTGCTAATGTGTGCTCATTTTTTTGTATTTGATGACTTATGATGCAGATGTTCAGGAGGTTTTACCAGGAGCTGAATCATCCACAGAGGTCTCTTCCTCTCCAAAAGAAATGGACCAGGTGATTTAAACTGGTAAAAACGCTGAATAAAGCAGTTTAAAAATATTTGTTTTGGAGTCAAATGCTCTTTGCTACTGCCCCCTGTCAGTGGTGGAATGCAACTAAGTGTATTTACTGAAGTACAGATCTGAGGTACTCATCCTACTATATAATGATGAAACCTCTGTGTGTGTGTGTGTTCCACGTTTTTCTCCTCACTGACTTGGTCAATCCATGTGAAATTTGGCACAGTGGTAGAGGGTCATGGGAGGATGCCAATGAAGCAATATTACATCAATTGGCCAAAGGGGGGCGCTATAGCAACCCATTGAAATGTCAAACTTTGAATGGGCATATCTCATGCCCCGTATGTCGTAGAGACATGAAACTTTGCACAGAGATGCCTCTCCTCATGAGGAACACATTTGCCTCAAGAACCCATAACTTCCGCTTATATAGATTTTCTGCCATTTTGAATTTTTTGAAAAACACTTCAAATGGATCTCTTCCTAGGAAGTTTGAGCGATCTGCATGAAACTGGGTGAACATAATCTAGGGACCAATATCTAAAGTTCCCTCTTGGCAAAAGTTGGAAAACTTACTAAAACTGAGCTTCTATAAGGCAATGAATATTGCGGAGGGCGTGGCTCATCACATAAAGGTGTATAACATCTCAAGGGTTTCACCCATCACCACGCAACTTTGTAGGCATATGACCACACATAATCTGAGGGGACCCCTCCATTATTGACCCCATCAAACAAAATGGGGGCGCTAGAGAGCTCATTTCTTATCTAGGCCTAACCGCCATATGGATTTTTACTAAACTTGGTAGATATGTAGAACAGGACGCCTCAAGGTGACTGGAGAAATTTAACTCTAATTGGCAACTGGGTGGCGCTATAACAACAGAAAAATGCTTCAAAATGGCTAAAATGCAACTGATCGCTGTGGCTCCCCCTGTGGACCAATGTTGGTGTTGTTGTTTTAATGTTTGGTATGACTAAGTCATGGTATGGTATGCTGTACATAATCATGGAAACTGTCAGTGTGTCATTCTGTCAGTCCCATGTTTTTCCAAAACTCTGTCTGAATACATTGCTCCTCTTAATGGGTTCAGTTGACTATTTAATCTGCAGTTTCCTGTGACCTGTATCCCAAACACACACCATGTGAAACTGTACGTGGGCAACTGTGCACTCAATGGGTATGGACTAGAACTTAAAACAAAGGAATACTTTGCACATCTATTTCCAAACAGGTGTGTAGGAGACATACAAGAACAACAAAACTTGTGGATCAAAACCAGGCAAACCTGGTTTGGCTGATGAAGGTCTAGTCACTGAAACTTTGCAGCATTAAGTCATTATTTTTGCAAGTTAGACAGTGTGCAGGAGTCTTTCCAGATCAAATATACTGTAGCTGGAGAGTCTGGCTGGAGAGCAAGGCGCCAAAACCCCAACTGCTTGAGGCCCCAGTCTAGTCTTAGTGTTTCTGCACTGGGTACTATTACTTTTAATACTTCAAGTACATTTTTGTACGATGAGTATTGATGATACTCACTTTACTTCAGTAACATCTCCAGTGCAAGGCTTTTACTTTTACTTAGCTTCCATGTCAGTACTCCAGCTTGCTTCATCAAACTGGGGGCGTGCCAACTGACATCTGCTGTATTTAACATACTCACTGACTATAGACAAGTACCCCATACAACCCTACTTTTAAAAAAATCTGAATAATCCCTTTAAATAAACACAAAGCATATCGTATCAACACACTTACACATGAGCAAACGTTTAGATATTACTTGATAAATTATATTTCTTTTATCTATATTTTTTGAGCCTCTTCTGTAAACTTCTTTTTAGTGAGGAGTTTTAGATTTACTCAGGTGTAGAGGTGATGTCAGACAGATTTTATATCAGTGTGTGTGAGCAGGTATTTTTATCAGTGGTTTAAAATCCTCACAAGACTCTAATATCTAACTTCTGGGATAGATTTTCTCTTCATGTCATTGATATTATCTCTGTTAGTTTTTACTGAGGAAAGATTTATGTGCTGGCCTTGAGAAAATAAAATATCCGCAGTATGAAGGTTTAATTCAAACTTATCTTGTTTTATTTGACTTTACTATGTCTCATGTTTGCTTCAAGTTTTATTATCAATATCATTTCATGATTTACTTTATGGTGCTGCAATCTGTTTTGATTTTGTGTCTATCAAACTATGAAGAATGAAATATGCACACATGCTGACATTAAAAGTTAAACTCATGAAGGACTTCCAGAGTTTGAGCCATGTTCCAAACTTCTCCCGTCACCCTGGGGGGATGATGTCAGAGAGAAATCAGACGGAGAAATGAAGGAGAGAATCATAACAACTTAAATTCCAATTATTTCTTATTTTGTTTTGAGTGAATATTGTTTTGCCTCCGACTTTGTCAGACTGTCAAAAGAAGCCTGTCATGCTACATTTAATACAGACTGCTGCGTCTGACTTTTCCTCATCACTTTCCTCCAAGCGCACGCACACACGCACGCATGCACGCACACACACACACACACACACACACACACTCCCCTGGCAGTTACACTCGTCCCTGTTCCCCATCAGCTCTGTCCCTGCTTATGAATTGAATAATTTAGGCTGTCTCCAGTGTTGATGCTGGGTCGCTGAAACTTCCAGAAATGACGAGCTAAACAAAACAGGACTCTGCGACTGTGATTGAACGACAAGAACTTTAAAGTTCTGCGTTAAATACACAACAGAAGAAGACACAGAGAAAACACAAGGAGAAAATCACGTCTTAATTTATTAATTCCGGATGTTTGCTGTGTAAGAGTTGGTGTGACTTAAAGGAACAGTTCAGCCCCAAATCAAAAACCCACACATTTTTCCTCTTACCTGTAGAGTTATTTATCAGTCTAGACAGTTTTGGTCTGAGTTGCAGAGTGTTGGAGATATCGGCCGTAGAGATGTCTGACTTATCTCCAACATAATGGAACTAGATGTCACTCAGCTTGTGGAGTTCAAAGTGCCAAAAAATACTTTTGAATCTACTCATAAATGAGGGGCTTGTGACAGTGTGGCATGTAAACATTAACGGCGTCCTCCTCCATTGAGGTGTAATGTTACTTAGCTTAGTGGTGCTTGGTGAGCTAGCAGATGCATGCTTCCTTCTGACCTACATGTTTGCGGGTGTAGTTCTATAGAAAGAAAATAGTTCCTACATGGAGGGTGTGAAGCCTATCCCTGCTGGCACTGGGTGAGAGGCAGGGTTCATCCTGGACAGGTCACCAGACTATCACAGGGCTGACACATAGAGACAGACAACCATTCACACTCACATTCACACCTACAGACAATTTAGAGTCACCAATTAACCTGCATGTCTTTGGACTGTGGGAGGAAGCTGGAGTACCTGGAGGAAACCCACGCTGACACAGGGAGAACACGCAAACGCCCCACCTTGGGTTTGAACCAGGCACCCTCTTGCTGTGAGGCGACAGCGATAAACACTGAGTATTTAAGAAACTACTGATCTACTGGGATTTTCAGCACAACCATCTCTAGGGTTTACAGAGGATGGTCCCAAAAAGAGCAAATATCCAGTGAGCCAAAATGCCTTGTTGATGCCAGAGGTCAGAGGAGAATGGCCAGACTGGTTCAAGATGATAGAAAGGCAACAGGAAGTCAAATAAGCACTGGTTCCAACCAAGGTGTGCAGAAGAGCATCTCTGAAGCAACAACACCTTGTCCAACCTTGAAGCAGATGGGCTACAGCAGCAGAAGACCACACCAGGTGCCACTCCTGTCAGCTAACAACAGGAAACTGAGGCTACAATTCACCAAAACTGGACAATAGAAGATTGGAAAAACCACATTCAGATGGAAGCATGGATCCATCCTGCCTTGTATCAACGCTTCAGGCTGCTGCTGTTGGTGTAATGGTGTGGGGGAGATTTTCTTAGTACCAACTGAGCATGGTTTAAACACCACAGCCTACCTGAGTATTGTTGCTGAGCGTGTCCATCCCTTTATGACCACAGTGTACCCATCTTCTGATGGCTACTTCCAGCAGGATAACGCACCATGTCACAAAGCTCACATCATCTCAAACATGACAATGACTTCACTGTACTCCAATGGCCTCCACAGTCACCAGATCTTTTAGATCTTTTATGATTTTGTGATAGAATTTTGTTTCTTTAATGCTCTCTCACACTACCAGTATTATAATGAGGAATAATAAGTAAGAGTAAATCATTTGTGTGTAGGAGCAGAGTGGCCATTAAATCTCCCACGTTCCCAGTAAACTGAGATCCTCTATGGTAGCTTCTAAAATACAAGAATGAAATAATAAGAGTGAGGAAGAGTCTTTCCTGCGTGTGTGCTGTGTCTAAAATCAGTGACATTGAGTTTGACTTTACCTCCACCTTCAAACTAATTCATTTACTTCATTAAGGGATCACATGACAAATTGCCATTCTCCTCCGCCGGCTTCAAAATAAAAACATAACTCGTGCCCTGACACAGAATGACTGGTGCAGTGAGTAATGAATGTATTTCATTCCTCATCATGCAGACAAGCCAACGCCCCTCCACTCTCCCCCTGCTCCTTTAATCAAGTCTCTCCTCTCCCTCCATCTCTGCCTGCTCAGCATACTTGCTCTCTTCGTCCTCCTCCCCCACTGCCCTCCTCTCAGCCTCCCTCCTCTTCTACTCCCCCCTCCTGTGCCACCGTAATTTATTTTTAGCTCCCTTGTTCTAATCTTAGCTCCTAGCTCTGGAGGAAACCGAGGAGCGCTCTGCGATGCGGGGGCGTGATAAGTGTGCACTTGCCGCGTGTCGGCGTGTGCTTGTCTGTGTGTGAGCGTGTGGGTGTGCTGAAGTTTGTAGTCATGTATGTGTGATGGAGTCATGCAGGAGTCTGGGAGCGGGCACGCACGTGTGAGGATGTATGTGAGCTGTGTGTGTGTGCTCTCAAGGACAAGAATGAACAAAGTGCTCTTTTTTTCTGGTTTCTGCTGCAGCAGTGTGAGTGCAGTGTTTGTACAGTATGTGCAGGTGCAGGCACGATGTTGCTCTCGCCGTCATGTTTCTGCTGCAGAGATTGAACAGCACAAGAACACGGGGTACTCAAACATGCTGTAATGCCCCCCTCTCTCTGTAGCACAGCTCAGAGCACCCAGCTGACTGGTTGTTTCTGCACATTGCATTGTTTCGCCTGAGGCTGCGGGGTCATGACATTCACTGTGCAGCCTGTGAATCAGCAGGGAGGGCCGCCCGAAGTAACCATCACTTAGATGATGGATCTTTTGCTTCCTCATCTTTTTCAGACAAAAACTTCTGCCTTCTTTCACGCTTTGCAAATCATTTCCACATTTGGTACCTCAGTGTTTCAATCCCTACTTCCCATCTCCTCTTCATCATCCTTTTTTGTATTTTTCATCAGGTCTGCAGCGGCCGACACATCTTTCTCCCTGCTATAAACATTCTCATTCATCCTTTGGGATTGCCTCTTGCAGTATGTTTACTGAGCAGGAAGGTGCTGGGTACCTGCAGGCTTTTCCCCCATTTTCCAGCAGTCTTGTCTAACATACATATGCATACACACTCTCCTGGGCTGCTGGTACCAGAAGGGATCAGCATACATAACCAGGATGGACATCTGCAGCGAAGACCAAAGATACGGGCAGCAGCTTGTGCATCTGGACTCGTGCATCTTCTCGATGCTGCTACAGACACACGCTGATATGTGCACACATCTGCACCCCGCTCACACTCTGCAGTAAGCGTGCTGTGCCTGGGAGAAACACATGGCACTGCAGTGGAAAAGGAGGAACTGAAGAGAACAGAAAATGAGCCCCCTCCCCTTCGTCTCCCCTCCTCCTCCTCCTCCTCCTCCTCCTCCTCCTCCTCCTTGTTTCTCTTCTCCTCGGTTGGCTGAGCTATTTATATCGAGCAGGATCCAATCTTAGCAGCAGCTGCGGGGGACACAGCCAGTCAGGGACAGCCCGTGCTTCCCCCCTGCACTATTTTTAGCAGCAGGACAGCTTCAAACAGCAGCACTGAGCTATTCTTGTCCCGGTGTTTCGCTCCCTCTGCTGCTGCTGTTGCACCAGCCAGAGGCGCAAGCTGTGTGTGTGTGTGTGTTTGATGGCAATAGTTAGGAGAAATTGTGATGTGATGTGTGCAGAGATCTGTGTGTTACAGTAGCAGTGGTGGAGAGGTCACGCATAGCTTTTATCCACAAGACCCCTCTTAAGGTGTCGCTCAGGCTGCCCATTAGCACCAAACGAAATGCCATTTATAATTTGCACTTTGATGGCTGCACACGGAGGGGTGGGACTGATATGATGGGTGGTATGCCGCAGGATGTTGCTGAGTTTCTTTTTATGAGAAACTTTTCTTGTTTTTGCTAGATCATTCCTCTAGAATAACATATTAGATATAAGATATTTTCCTCGTTATTACTGGATACCAAATGATCATGTTTTTACAAGAGGCTTTTCTTGTTACATATAAACATATTTCTCTATCCTATTATATCACAAAACCAATGCTGCTGTCGTTGCATGCAGTCGGCTGTGCCTTTGTGTATTAATAAATACTCCCATGAACAGTCTTTATGCACCTGCACACCTTTCTTTCACCATTTAATGGACCATTTCTGTTGACGCAGTCCCAACCTTTAGCCACATTAGTCTCTAAATACCACTTCAAACTGCACAACTACTCATATTCCTTCTGAGTGAGACGGGTTAATATGTACATAACCCTAGATGTATGTGATTTGTAGCATTAAAATGTTTTGTTCAAATTTGGCCTCTACCTTCTAATTCTGACTAAAACAACCCAACAACTCCGACCCTATCTGCTGGCAAAATCATCACCACAAGAGGGCAGTCTAATCTGTTCAATTCAATTAAAAATATTTGTCCTTTAAGGGGCAATAAGGCATAAGGGCTTGCAAAAATAAAAACACACAAATCCAATCCAAGCAACCCAGTCACAACTCTTAAAAGAATAGTTAGTTCACAGCGTTTGAAGTGAGGCTGCATGAGGTACTTGTCCATAGTCCATGTATTACATACAGTAGATGTCAGCTGACACGCCCCAGTTTGGAAATGGAGGCTGGATTACTGACATGAAAGCTAAGCCATGTACTGCTGTGGACGGGGGCAGCAACAAAACCTACTTTAGCCACCCAAAACAATCAATGTTAATTTGTGTATATGCAGTATTTAGAATGTTTTCACCACTTTACTTTGCCATCAGACTTCCCTTTCCAATGGAGAACTGAAGCTGTTATTGCTCTTGTCAAAGCCTCCAGACTCTTTTCAGTCATTTCACCACACGAAACACAGGAGCTGCTCGTCTGCTGCCGCCTCGATCAGTTAGTCTGTGTTCTTGTGTGATTTTGGTGTTTAAAGGATTCGTTTGGATTCACAAGAGTCACGCCATAAAGCCCAGAACAGCCCAAAGATTCACAACGAGACGAAGCTGTTTTAGAACGTTGCAGAGAAAAGTAGCAGCCGAGTGAATTGGCCAGTCTGAGCTTGACTCAAGCCAGCTGATTGGTCAGCTGTTCAAATGGCCGGCGGCTGCTTTTACTGCTGGTCAAGTCAAAATGACCACAGACAGGGTCTCGCTGTGAATCTTTGGTCTGAACTGGGCTTAATCCAAACAAACCAACCAATCAAGGCAGAGGTAGACCAGCAACTCTCATGTTCTGTGAGCTGAAATTATTGTTACTGTCAATGAAGTCTGGCTTTGAAGAGAGCATAGCAAGTTAAAGCAGTGAAATTATTTGAAATATAGCGTCCATTGTTGCTGCCTCTGTCCACAGCAGCACACTGCTGAAAGGGACTACCTGAAAGTAACACACTGACGTGGATAAAATCTGAACTATCCCTTTAAATTCGCTGCGTTGCCCTCTGCCCTTCAGCACTCTACATTACTGTGCGTACTCACGTCAGCCCCGTGGCCTTCTCGCAGATTGTACGTGAGGTCGTGCTGTATCTCGCTAACAAACTTCTGGGCGTACTCGGGGTAGAGTCGGAGGACCTCACGGAGGCCCTTGAGGCTGATGTACTGCAGGTCGCAGTAGGTCAGGGCCTTGACGTTGGCGTTGGTCTTGATCACCTGCTCCTTCGTGAGGGAGTCTGAGCCAATCAGATCTCCTTTACCTGCACATGTAGACAGACACAGAGACACATTAATGTCTTTGAACCAGTACATCAGAGACGGTGTATTTCCACTAACTGTCTCCACCTGTGGGTGAAATAAACACACAGACTGTTTGAGCTGCAGACATTCAAAGACAGACGGTCTAGGTAATGAACAGGAATATCATTTCAACAAAGACAGTTGGGAGAATGCGTTGACTGTATGTATAATGTACATAAGAATTCATTTGGCCAGGGCCACCGCTGTATTTTTGTCACAATTGTCAAAGTTGGCCAGTTGCATGGTTGATAGCTGAGTTGTTCTTAGTAAAATTAGAGGTATAACAACTCTTATTACTTGTTGTAATTTACCTCCCCTCAATAAACATGACAAACATGCTCCTAAGAAAGCTAACAGGGGTTTAACATCAACTGAAGATGACACTGATGGGAATGACAAGACACGTCAGACTGAATATTGAAACTAGAAAAGGCTGAATTCTAAATTTCTGAAGAAAAAGCCGTGGTTGCAGGTGAAAACTGGCAATTTAAATGTTTCAAATAGTCAAAATACTGACAGAAGCTGAAATGGCAGTTAAAGAGGTTTAAGTGGAAGTTGAAGTATCAGTGGAAGTTAAAGTGCTGAAAGGAGCTGAAGATTCTGACAGATTTGAGGGAGCTGAAGAGACCTTTGAAGAAACCTCCTAAACGTCTGGATCTTAAGGCCCAGACACACTAACCCGACTCCAGAAAACTAGCGGCTACGAAAGCCGACTATTGCGTTGCCTCATGTTAGCCGACGGCCAAAAGTAGCATATAGGTTCTGCACATGCATGAGAGGAAATAACGCTCCACACAAGCAGTGGTCGTCGGTATTTATCATTCACAAATGGGACACCGGAAGATCTTAATGCTATTAGTCAGTTAGTGCATTAACAACATGATCCAATATTGACAGAACTTAGCGTATTTACTGTGCGACAGTGGATAAAGAAAAATAATCTGATAATGTAACAAGTCTGTTTTGATCTCACTCCCTCTGGACTTTAGCTTTTTGTTTACTTTTCTCACTTCTGTTTCTCTACTCGTGCTGAGCTGAACTACAGAGTGATTTCATTAACTGTTGCTGAATCAGACAAAAAAAGCTGGCAGGGGCCAACAAGGGGCAACGGTGTGGGACATACCGCAATGACTAGGGCGACAGACGCTCACCAATGGCCCAACATGGACCAACGGCCAACTGTTGGTTTGGTGTGTCCGGGCCCTTAAATTATCAGAGGAAAAAAGGTGAGCACACATTAGCAGGCGCTGGGTTAATGGCTGGTCTCCGACATGTCAAACAGCGCAGGTTAAACACTATTTTGTATCATGAAACTCTTTTATTCAGTGTTTTTACTGGTTTAAATCACCTGGTCTGTTTGTTTTGGTGAGGAAGAGACCTCTGTGGATAATTCAGCTCCTGGTAAAAACCTCCACTAAGTCCTCCTAAATCTGCTCCTTTAGCTCTTTTTTAAAGCATCACTGCAGTAAGTTTTCTTCTGGCTCTCCTTTAGCCACTCATGCAAATCCACTGCAGGATCTGTATAGATGAATAATGTTGGGCACCACCCACAATTTCTTTTACAGTAATCATATTTGAGCGGATTACACTGCTGCTCTGCTTATTATTCACCCACTTTCTTCTTCAACAATATGTGACCATACAGCATGCATATGCAGTGTTTTCATTAAGATTATTAACTGAGCGCACAGCGTGATGTCAAACAGAAAATGCATTATAGTTTATGATGGGCGACATTCATTTGTGAGGCGTTTGACAGACAAAGCTGCGGCAGTATTGGGAAAAGAAAGGGAAAAAGTCAAACAAAGACTGCTTCAGGGCTGCACAGTCACACAGCTGAGAACAGAGGAGCAAGTAAAGGAAAGAGGGGGCTGGAGAAAAATAGGCAGAGAAACAGAGGCAAGATGGAGGGAGGCAGGGCAGGGTCGGCCAGGGACCTAAAATGGGTGATGGAGTATGGAGGAGGACTGCAAAGAGGGAGGGTGAGAAAATGAAGGAAACAAGGGAGAGAAAGGTGAGATTGAAGAGGGACACAGTGTGGGGGTGGCTGCAGACTGGCATGGGCTGATTGAGTCAAAATGGATGGGTGGGGTGAGAAAGTGAGAGGGGAGGTGATAGTTAGGGCGAGCAGGCGTTTGGAGCACGCCATGTAAGCAGCTATTAGACGTTGACCTCAAACTCTCCTCCGAACCTCCTACCACCTCCACATCCGGCTGTCTCTGCACCCTCTTCTCTTGATCCCCCCATCTGTGCTTGTACTTAATTTGGCACGATGGGCTCTTCATATGCTCCGTCTGTCTCTCTATCTTATTCACATCACTCACACTTCTGCTCCTCCACTTCCTTTTTTCATTCCCACACCACACAGTTCAGCTCCAATTGTCTTTTGTCACACAGATGATGGGTGTCGACAGAGCCAAGAGCGACAGCGAGCGTCAGGGAGAGCTTGGGCTTATAATCACAGCAAAATGTTAAACTGAGCAGGAGATGAATACTTGAAAGTGACATTTAAGAGTGTGTATTTGTCTCGGCTTCAAGTGTTTGTATCTGTGTGTGTGAGTGGAGGTAAAAGAGATGAGGGCAGCTTATGAAAGGAGTTCATTTTATCCTCGTTAAAGATGTTAAGCCTTTAATACTGTATGCACTAACAGGTTGTTTCTTTGGTCCTTGCTCTGTTATAAATGTGAAGTTTCAGTTGATATTTCATGCAACACTATTCTTCTTATGAAAAATGACTTGTAGGGAAAATATTCACATTGTGGCACAGCAGCTACACTGATCAGCCGAATCAATAAAACCACTGACAGGTGAAGTGAATAATATTGATCATGTTGTTACAGTGCAATGTTTTGCTGGGAAACCTTGGGTCCTGGCATGTGGATGCCACTTGACACGCTCCACCCACCCAACACTGTTACAGGCCAAGTACACGCTTTCATGGCAACTCCCTAAAGGCAGTGGCCCCAAAGCGTGACAATGCACCACGCAACACTGCAAAAACTGCTGAGGAATGACCCAAAGAACGTGACCAAGAACTCAAGGCATCGCCCTGGCCTCCAAGTTCCCCAGATGCCAATTTAATCAAGCATTTGTGGGGTGTGCTGATACCCCAGAGGTGCCGCTGATCCAGGGTGGGTCTCCTTGGATTGGGCTCAGCTCTGACTTGTCTAGGCATGGACACAGGACCTCTGGGGGTGTTGGTTGAGGATCCTTTGAGTCCTTTGAGTTCTGAGGTGGGGTATCACGTCCCATGGCTACTCAATCAGATTGGTATCTGGGGACTTTGGAGGTCAGGTTGATACCTTGAGTTCTGCAACAGTGAGTGGGGTGGAGCATGTAAAGTGGAATCCACATGAATGAGAAAATCAAAGGTTTCACATGATCAAAATTATTCACTTAACGTGCCTGTGGTTAATGTTGTGGCAGATGGGTGTATATTACAGGTTAGTGATGGCAGACTTCAAAACAAATGATTCTTTTTAAACAACTCTCAAAGAGGATCGATTTAACATGATTTGGAAGCCAAAATCCTGGCTCTGTATGTTACATTCACAGCTGTGTGTAAGATAAGATGGTCGGTTGCTCAAAGCACCTTAAAGTTAAGATTTTCCTCAAAGTCCAAGTTAAGGTTTCCTTGAGATAAAATCGGTTGCAGAAAAACATCCCTAAGTCTTCTCCAAAGTTTGTCTCATCATCTTGGTATTGTACGTAAGAATTTGCTTAGTCTCGCCACCAGAAAATCAGAGATCTCCGCCTTCTGATAGTCTGGGGACACTCCTTTCTAAAGTGTGTTTAACACACCGGAGAAAACGGCCAGCAACAAAGCAACGCCTCTTGCATTTTTTAAAAGGACACGCCCTCCTGGAAATGTGCGCTCATGTGTGCTCAGTCCACAAGACTGTGGAAATGAAGGACTTACAGCGACTTTGTTTTGATTGAAACAATTGTTTTGATTGTTTTGATTGACTTTGATTGTCTACTTTAATATTTTATCTTAATATTTTATCTTATTTTTATTTATTTTAACATCTACTTTAATATTTTATTTTATTTATTTCATTGTCTATTTTAGTATTTTATTTATATCTTCATCTTTATCTCTTGTTTCCATTCATGCTGTATTTCTATTTCTACTTTGCACGGAGCATTGGAACAAAAACAATTTCCTCCCGGCGATTAATAAAGTATTCTGAATCTGAATCTGAATCTGAATTTGTTTAAAACTTTTAACGCAGTCGGACTATGTTTACGAGCACAAGAGTTCAGCGAGCCACCGAAGGACCGCCCTGCAGATTTACTATTGGTTCTGCAACGTAGGGAGTTTTTTAAACTCTGAAATTGTATCTGCCCATCTAAACACAAAATCAGGGAGAAAGTCATCAGTCTTTAGTTAAGCAAAGCGTCTAAAGACTGACTTGTGAGTCTAGGAATTGCTTAAAATTTGTTAAACCGTTGGACCTAACTAAGTAACCAAAGTAAAGACAAAAACATAAAGTACCTCTGACTCCATCGTAAGTGCAACATGGTTGAGTTTATGGAGAAAAATAAGGCGTCCCAAGAAGAGTGCGCCACAACCAGGAGAACCTGATGAACCGACTTAATGGACGGTATTTTGTGGTGGCTTGTCATTGCCTCTTGTCGGTAAAGGAGCTAAAATTAGCCGGTTCACCCAGTGTTGTGTTCCCATCAATGCCGATCAGAGCCAGAGGCGGTAAATACCCATGACTACTGCAGTTATTTGACCCCGGGTATGAACGGCAATTAAAAAGCCAGATGTTTGTGGGTGTTAGCTGTTTTTTGTGCAGTGGGAAAGGGGCCTAGAACCACAAATGTTTGGGTGATCACTGCATGACATTCTCAACACGATGAAACGTAGTAATAGTTATATCATCTTCGAAACGAGCCACAGCCATGAACAAATCATATACCTTTTATACACTTTATACTGAGAAATTCCTGC